TGAATGCAGTATTCAAAGCATAGAAACCATGTACACAGGCAATAAAAAATGTTGTGCTTGAGGTAAATAAGGAATCTAACTTCCTTAGAATATCAGTTCAAGCTGAGGAAGGATGAAAACTAATGCATAAAGGAAAGGTAGAGATGTATTTCAAAAAGCCACACAAAGGTTCCTAGAATTGTCAATTACTCAAACTGGGAAAAGGGTAGCCAGGCTTTATAAAAATATGTTTCTTTTCTGTGTTAATTATTTCATATTAATTGATAATCTAAATATATGATTCCTCTCTAGGCAATAAAGTTAATAAGAATGATCACATTTCATTTACTCATCATTAAATTCCCCCACATCTAGCACAGAACATAGCTCATAAGCATTCTGTAATTATTAGGGAAATAAAATAAAATAGGGAAGAGTAATTTAAAAATTATAAGTATTATTCGGCAGTAACCTATAAAAGATACTGCATATCTTAAGGTGCTACAATGAGAAACTCAGATTAGCTTAGATAGGAAAATATGGTCTCAGACTCATAAAGGCAGGTTAGGAAAAAGACAAAAGAACAACCTCTTAATATGGACTGAATATGTGTCCCAAAGATTCATGAGCTAGAAGTCTGATCTCCAATGGGGTGCTGTTGAGGTGATAGAATAGATAACAGGTGCATCTTGGAGAAAGGTGATTAGGTCAGTGGAGGTGCCACTCTCAAAAGAGATTCACGTAGTTCCCTGTGGGTCCATCTCAGTTCCCACAAAACCCTAGTTTGTTCCCTTAAGATCCTGGCTATTATAAAAAGAGTGAGTCTGGCCTCCAAATACCCTGGTTTCCTGTCCTTCCATGTGATTGCTCTCTTCTGCACATGACAGGTTCCCTTTCCATTTTTTTCACCATGCTGTCATGCAGCCAGTGGACTTTTACCAGGTTCCTGGCACCATAGTAGGAGTTTAGACTCTCCAGTCATCAGAATCATAAGCCAATTAAACCTCTTTCCTTTTTAAGTTACCCAGCCTCAGGTATTTTGTTGTATCAACAAAAAATAGATGAGGGATAAACAGAGACAAGGAAAGGAGGACAACAAGCATTAATGTCCTCATCTTTCATAGCAGAGATTCAATGAATACTATTTAAAGTTAAATATAATGCTCAAACCTCTTGAACAATGTTCAAGCCTCTTGAAATGTTTTACCTAATATTTTTTTCTTAATCTTCAAAGAATCTCTGGGAAAATAACAACTCCTGGAGTGAAAATTTAAAAAAAAAAAAAGGTTTTTTTCAAATTCAGAAATTCTTTCAGTCTCATAAGGGTTTCTTTTTTCTTTTCTATAAAATTCAGTTAGAATTTAAAGTGCCAACTATATTATGATTCCATTTCTATAAAAGAATTTAGTTCTATCCTTCTATTTGTATATGTATAAAAAGATGTCTAGAATAATTTTCTTCAATGTTAATAATGACACTTTGGGAATTAGAATGAATTTCACTTAATTTATCATGCTTAAGTTCCTGTATTGGTTAATTTCTTTAAAATAAAGATAAATTACTGTTTGAAAAACAAAGAGAAAATTAAGATGACTTTCAGATTTAAGCAACTGAAGAGATGAATGGGCCACTTAAGGAGATAGAAATGAAAGATTAGTTTTGCTAGTTTTTGTGGAAAGAGGTTTGACAGATCCAAGAATTCAATTTTAGACATGTTAAGTCTGTGATGACCAAGAAATGAATGAATAGAGATGACAAGAGGCAGTTTTTTATGTGACATGGTGGCTCAGAAGAGAAGTTTGGGTTGGGAATATAAATTGAGGCATCTGCCAACATAGGTAGACATATTTAAAGATAAAGGTGAAAAGAATTAGAAGCAAAGTACAGAGAAGAAATGTCCCTGGGCCCAGAACTAATTCCTGAGGATTTTATCATTCAGATGTTGCTTAGAGAATGAGAAGAGAAATTGCAGCCATAGGAGTATGCAGCATCGAAAAAACAAAGAGAAGATAATTTTTCATACAGAAAAATATGGTCTATTATACTAAATGCTACTGATAGTTTTCATAAAATGAGAATTTGAAAAGAAGAATGCATTAGAGTCATTAATATGGAAATTATAAGTGACCTTGATGTGAGCAGAATGAACAACTCTGTAAGAGTTATAAACTCAAAGCCAAATCAAAGTGGAGAAAACAGAGGTGAGCTAGTGAGGACAATTTGTATAGATAAGTGAGAATCAGAGAAATAAGACAGTGGTTATAGGAAGAAATGAAGTCAAGGGCAGTTTCCTTGCATGTGTTTTGTGTTTTCTTTCATTTTAAGATGAAATACGTGAAGGCTTCACACTGATAGGAATGATCCAGTATCAAAGGATAGAGTGCAAGAAATTAAAGTAGGGGCAAAGGAGAGGGCTAAACAAAAAAAAAAAAGAATTCTTCTTGAGTATTAGACATTTACAATGCCAAATTCAAAATTAAATAAAATGATGCTGCTGAAAAGTGAAAAACCATATTTCACTAATCCTCCTCTAAACAATGCAATAAACAAATTGAATCAAACTTATCCTCAATAGTTCTGAGGTAGAGGAAAATAAAAAACGAACAAAATAAGTAATACTAAACCAAGAAATCAAACACATTAATGAGATGGTCTCCTAATTAAGGTATAATTAAAAACACATACAAATATGGTGAGAGTAAGAGACAGATAAAAGTACAAAATACACAGAAACACAAGCTTTATATATAACATAATGCTAAGTTCTAAATTATCACTATTAGAATTCAATGACCAATAACATACTGAAATTAGCAGAAAAACTAAATTACCTAACTTCAAATATATTGCTCAAATACAACTTAGTTGAAGATTATGGGAATGAACTTCAAAATACAATAAAGACCAATTGATTATCAAAGAAAAACTTATTAAAAGGCAAATAATTAAAATACAAACTTTTCTTCACAAAGTGATGTTGTCATTTTCTGTCTGAACACTGATGTTTTAAACTAGCAATTAACTAGACAGCATGTGGAAGACTACTGAGATACTAGAAAAAAATGAAGACAAAAATTATTTCACAGTAAAACAGAAAAATGGAACAAGAAAAGATACAGAAATATATGTAGCACTGCTTACTGGTACTATTGTTACCACTGTTTTATACGGCTTTCTACATGCCAGGCACTGTTTTAAGCACTTTGAATTTATCATATGTAATTCTCCCAACAATTCTATTAGGAAAATAATGCAATTATCCTCCATTTTACAGATGAGTGATGGTGCCCCACCTCACACAACTAGTAAACATCAGGTAGTCAGACTCAAGTCTACATTGCTAACCAACATAACTTACAATTCTACCTATCAAAAATGGGATGGTAAATTTCCGAGGGTAAGACACAATAATTTCACTTAGATATTATGAGAAAGTATACACTATGAAATTAATAGTATTCCCAGAAGCTTTGAACTGCCTCTTTATATAACTTAATAAAAACCTACTAAATCTTTTTTTTCTAAAAGGGACACTAGAGAAAAAACATAATACAAGGAATGTACAGAAATAAAACAAGAAATTCACTCAGTATATCAATAACACCAGGCAAATACCTATGTCATATTACTACAAAACTCAGAAATATATTTGCTATGTAAAAGGAGATCACATTGAATAGATTTCTTTCCCCTACTTAACCCTCATTGCTGCTTGCTATATAATGTATCTGATGCTATAAACTGAAAATTAAAATCTACTATGAAAAAACATTCTGAGATAAAGTGTATACCATCCAAAAAGCTGTAATAACTACAGCTTTTCTACATCTTCTCTGAACCAGAAAGCCCCAAAATGAAGCTATTAATAATTGTTATAATTTAACTACATTATAGTAAGACATATTAGTTTGTTAAATATTTTCAAAGTATATAGAGAATGCCCATTTTGCAACATACAAATATTTAACATAAATATTTGAATATTTTAAATAAAGTATTACAAAATATTTTACATAAACTATTAACTTTATAATAATAATGTATTGATATTAATGAATAGTAAAAAATATTAAAGTACAGATCTATAAAATATACTACAATCAGAGAATTCTAATTTTAGAAAAGTAATATCTTTGCTTCTTTTTTTTTTAACAATTCCTTTATTTTATTTATTTATTTTTATATGATGCTGAGGATTAAACCCAGGGCCTCGCATGTGCTAGACGAGCACTCTACCGCTGAGCCACAATCCCTGCCCTACTTTACTTCTTAAGTAGTGCATTATCATTGACTTCTCTCATGGCTGAAAAAATTACTTTACTAGAAGAGAAAAAAAAATCATGAACCTATGAAAATGAAAAATTTCCTTAATTCAGCTGTTTTTAAAGGTAGTAATTTATAGGTGTGAAGCTTGTCATATGTCTATATACAACCAAAAGTTTGAGAATTTCGTAAGTCTATAACCCTACCTACTCTGCTTTATTTTCCACTTGAACATGCTTCATAAAATGTTAAGGAATATGAATTCGACCAGAAATATTTAAATCTCAGGAAAAGTAAAGCTGAAGAATAATGATCAACACCAAGAAGCAAAATGTGGGCTTCAAGATAAATCATCCACAACTGGGCCTCTTTCAAAGCTTTATTATGGCAAGAGTCTAATCAAATACCAACACAGGGAAGCCCCAGGTGACTACTGAGTAAACTAAATGAAACAGTCTCCAACATGCTTCTATTAAATCGAGTAAAAGTAGAAAACAAGGTAATCATATAGAACCCAAATTCAGAGAAAGACTATAGTATAAAAAATTGTTATAATTTATCTACATTATAGAAAGACATATTAGTTTATGTTAAATATTTTAAGGTATATAGAAAGTGCCTATTTTTTGCAACATATAAATATTTAAGATAAATTTTAAATATTTAAAATAAAATATTTAACATAAAATATTAACTTTATAAATAATGTATTTATATTCAACTAAAATAAACATTTGAAATAAAATTTAGCACCTTACCTGAGACCAAAGATATGTGATTGTTCATAGTTGAATAATGAATGAATCTTAGCTTCAGAATTCAAAATGATAAGTCTATCAATTATATCCTGGAAGACAGACAGAATGAGATTATGTTGACTGAAACTATTCAAAGAAAATTACATCAATAATATTCATTTAGATTTGTGGTTCTCAAATGTGACTTTATACTGGAATTACCTGGGAAATTGAAACAAAGCAAAAACACAAATCATGGAAACTCTGGTCCCAACACCAGAGGTCTGAATTACCTGGCTTGGTTCTATCTTGGGTACTAGAATTTGTGTTAGTTCCTAAAGTGAATCTGATGCTCAATCAAAATGGAAAACCACCAATTTATATTGCATTTTGAAACTAGTGAACAATTTATATAGTTAAAATTTCCAAAAATGTGAACTACTTTGAAAAGCAAATACAAAATCTACAAATGTGAAGCATAAAAGGTGAATATAAATGTTCCTTATCTAATAACTGTTGGAACTTTTATTAATAATAATTCTCTGGCTCATGTTAATAAGTGTTCTCCAACACTGGTTGAACAATGGAATCACCTAGTGTTTTAGTAAGCTATTTCACTGCTGTGACTAAAGAACCCAACCAGCACAATTGTACAGGGAGTAAAAGTTTATTTGAGGGTTCACGGTTTCAGAAGTTCAATCCACAGACAGCAGGCTCCATTCTTAGGGGCTCAAGATGAGGCAGGATATCATGGCCAAAGACTGTGACAGAGGGAAGCAGCTCATATAATGATTAGAAGCAGAGAGAGGGGTCTCCACTTGCCAGATAAAAATACATACTCCAAAGCCACACCCACAATGAAACATTTCTTTCAGTCACACCTCACCTGCCTCCAGTTAGCACCCAGCTAATACCATCAGGGATTAATCCAATGATTAGGTTAAAGCTATAACCCAATCATTTCTCCTCCAAACCTTCTTGTGCTAACACATGAGATTTCGGGAAGACAACACATCTAAACCATAACATCCAAAGAACTTAAAAAAAAAAAAAAGTATACATAAGATGCCAGGTTCTACCTAAGACCAACTGAGTTGGTCTAGACACTATGCCTAGGCTCAAATTTTGACTTAATAGTCTCCAAAGTTCCCCAAGATATTCCAACGTATACTTAGGTCTCAAAACTGTTAAGTCAAGTGCAGAGAGACTCTCATGACCTATGTGCCACTTGTTGTCCCAAACACTGACAATTTTAGCCTACTACTTTCTAAAAGCTTTTTCATATGCCCTGCTTTGGTGTAGGCCTAAGAAATTTATTCACATAAACATTTGTCTCTCTCGTTGCTCATTTTCCTAACCAAGAAATCTGCTACCCTTCATTGAGTTCAAATTGAGAATATTTCTGTGATCAATATAGCAAAATAAGGAAGGTTTTGCAAGGAAGTGAAGTAAAATTTATTCAGGCCTTTCTGAATGATGACACAAAAACCATATCATCAAATAAATAAGAAGCAAATGAATGAGCTTGTGAGGAGAAGAAAATAATGGGTAACTCAGTCACATTTAAAAAATAATAATTAAAACATAGTCAAAACTGGATTTTGGGTAAACTTCCCTAGTAAAAATGTATACCTAACATATAGGAAGGCACTTACTATTCTACAATACTCTGTAGAAATTTGTAATTAATACTAAAGCAACATAAGAGTTTAAATCAATAATTACTAATGAACTACATAAAAATGAGAATACTGTGAATTTTAAAAGATGGGATCCAAACAGTATGACAGACACTGACCTATACAACTGAGATTCATATTCCCAGCCGCATAGTCATATTCTTATTATTTGCCCTTCTCCTCAAATCTCTCCACTCTGACTGCCCTGATTTAGCCATAGAATCAGAGTCACAGAACTCTCATTAACTCAACCAGACACCTGGATATTATTATGTAAGATTTAATGGCAAAACTTGTTGCTATGTAGTTCTTCAAATAAGTAGATATTTTTACTGATTAAGAATTACTCTAATTTTTATGAAATGATCAATTATCATCACTATGTTTACCATAGTTAATCTTCATAGAACAATTGAGAACTGATTGTAAATCATGTGTGTCACTAACCTTTTCTACCTGAGGAAAGGCTGCCAGTTAATTCTATGAAAAGTAGTACCCGAAAGGATTATCATAGATTTGTCTTCATTAATGGGGTACTAGTATAGGTAGCTGAAATTTCCACAGCTATTTGAACACAAAACTAAGTTCAGACAATTTAATAGGTGGTAACTCCTTGTAACTCTAAAGTTCTGGTTATGAATCTAAGTACTAGATACTGTAGGAATAAAAAATGATCCAAAGAGACTGTATTACCAACAAGCTAATGGAAGCGTAGATTGCAGCAATCTATCAATGATAATGCATTTCCAGAGAACAAATGTTACAGTAAATAATTTCTGCTTCCAAGAGGATTACATTGATGTATCACCACTTAGGGAAGAAAACGAAACTCCTGGGAAGCCTGTCTTATGGAGAGCTTCAGTTTCTAAGTACCATAACGTGTGTCAGGAAAGGAAGCAGCTTCCTAAATCAAGAAGCAGCTTCCGAGCAATAGGCTAATGAAAGTAAGGCCTGGGACTTGCAAATAGTAATCGGAAACTATTGCTTTTTAAAAGTATCATCAAGCCTGAGAATATGCTCAGTAATATGGCAGGTCAGACTGAGACCAAGCCTAGAAAAACAAACAGAATTCTATATTAATAGATATATATCTATTTATATAGAATGCCTACTCAATTTACAATGGTCACAAAGGCCATATTTGTACTGACTTCCTTTACTTAGGAAACAGGCAAGTGAAAGGTGAGAGTAGGTCAATAACAATGCCCCTATAATTCTTGCACCTGCTCTTCTATGAGTGGAATATCATTGGTAAGCCTATGAATAAAATTAAACCAGTCAAAGTCCTTCCTTGGGATTGTTTTAAAGTGGGAAAGTAAAGGAAAACGTCACACTCCTGTTTGAGTTATAGTGAGTTACATGGTGACACTATTCCCAAAAAGTTTTTCTGTGCCCTAACCCCCAGAACCTATGAATGTTAGCCAATTCAAAAAAGGGGGATCTTTGCAGAGATAATTAAGATTCTTAAAATAAGATCATTCTGGATTATCTTTGAAAACTTAAATTCAAGACAACTGTCTTTATAAAAAAAAAAGCACAGGTGGCACACTTTAGACAGATTTATGGCCACATAACATGGAGGCAGAAAGTAGAGTTGAGCAGCAACAAGACATGAAATGTCTAGAAAAGTCATAGGTCAAAGAGACAAATAAGAATTCTTCCCTGGAGCCTTGGGAGGGAGTATAGCTTTGCTGACACCTTGATGACTTCTGACCTCCAGACCTCTTCCACCATGATGTTCTTTCTGCCTTTGCCTTGAGCCTTGAGGAATGAACTCAGCCTTCTATAGAGTTAGACTACTAAAACTGTGATCCTCTAAATAAACTTTTTATCCTCTAATTGTTCTTGTCAGGTCTTATGGTCACGGTGGCAATAAAGCTGACTAAAGCCCTATCTAACACACCAACATGTCCTTATGCCACTATCAAAGACCTGAAAACTGTGATAGTAACTAAAAATCAATATAAAATTATACATGTTTTAGGGGAAGAATACTTGGTGTCATTTACCTTTAACTTACTAAAGTACATTGTGAAAGCTGTTCACAAGGGCTAGAATTTCACAGGATAGTAGATCTAAATACATGAAAAGATAAGGCATACTGTTCTTAAGATCTAAAAAATTTCTTAAAAATTGGGAAGAAAAAGAGCAACACAAACAGAAAAACAGGCCAAAAAATGAAAAATTTATAGAAAGAAAATGTCAATGGCCATAAACACAGGAAAAGAGCCAGGTGTGGGGGTTCATGCCTGTAATCCCAGCAACTCAGGAGGCTAAGGAAGAAGGATTACAAGTTCATGGCCAGCAATTCAGCAAGATTCGCAGCAATTTAGTGAGACCCTCTCTCAAAATAAAAAATAAAAAGACCGAGAAAACACCTCAGTGGTAAAGCACCCTTGGTTCAATCCCTAGTATAAAAATAAATAAATAAATGCAAATAAACATAAGAAAAAATATTCTGTTAATAACAAGAAAAATATAATTGTTGTATTACCTGTCAAATAAATACCTTCTGACCAACCACTGAGCCACATTTCCAGTCCATTTTTTTTGTTTTATTTTGTTTTTGTTTTTTGTTTTTAATTTTGAGACTGTGACTCACTAAATTGCTTAAGGCCTTGTTAAATTGCTTAGGGCCTTGCTGAGGCTGACTTTGAACTTGGCATCCTCCTGCCTCAGAGTCCTGAGAGGCTGGGATTACAAGTGTGTACCACTGCAGCCAACAACCACATAATCTTCTTAAACAGCCTACAAAGACAAGGTACTATACTGCACTGATTGGACAAAATGATTATTCCCAGTGAATGGAAATCCAGCAATGTATGGTATATAATACATATGAATTTACTTTTTAATCTAGTAATCATGCTTCTGGAAACACTGCCCCAAGATAATATGGTAGGCAGAATTCTAAGACAGATTCCAAGATTCTAACGTTTTAAACACAAATAAACTAATATAAAGGGAATTTTGTTGATGTAACAAATGTCCTTAATCAAGTGACTTTGATATGGGAGATTACCTAGAAGACCCAACTCTAATCAAATGAGCAATTTAAATGCAAAGTTTTCCCAACCTGGTCACAAAATAGGAATTCTGAGAGATTCCAAGAATGAGAGAGATGTGATATGAGGCGAGTTTTCCTATTCTGAAATGGAAAGGGCCAAAGAACAAAGGCCTGAGATATGCCTCTAGAAAGTAAAAGAAACCACTGGCAGACAATTAATACCAGACACTTAAACCCTCCTGCATCCACTGACTGAATTCTGCCACAATAATAATAGTTAGGAATTAAATGTTTGCTCAGAGCCTCTATAGGAGCACTTGGCCTTGCCAACAACTTGATTTTAGCCTTGTAATACTCTAAGCAGAAAACTCAGGCAGTTTGTACTGGATTTCTGACTTACAAAACTATGTGCTAATAAATAGGTGTTTGTTTTAAATTGTTAGGTTTGTTAGGAATTTGTAGTACAGGAATAGAAAAGATACAGACACACTTATAAATATAAGCCAGACTAATAATTTTGACACCATTCCTATTAGCAAAACAATGGGAAAAAAACAAGTTTCCACCAATAGGAGACTGGATAAATAAAATATAGCACATCTACACAATAAAGTATTATGTGACTTTTACAGGGGAAAATGGATAAAAAAGAGTTCTAGTTTCTGCTAAGAAATAATCCAAAATATGTAATTATGAGAAAAATGTAAAGGGAAGGTCAGTGTTTACAGTATGTATTCTTCTGCTTAAAAAAACTTAAAGGGAAATAAAACATATTTTTTAAAATGACATTAGAAAAAAATAGACCAAAAAACAAATTTGTTACCTATAAAGCAGTGTAAGAATAGCCATGCTCTTTATTTCTGCTGTCTAATATGGTGGCCACTAGCCTATTATATCAGGCAGAGAGCAGGTATTTAAAAATTTGAAATGTGGGTAGCACTTAAAAATAATGATTTTTTATTTTATATAATTTTTATTATTTGATTTGAATAGAAACTGTGCTAGTAGGTATGGTATTAAAGATTAACGTCTACAAAGGGAAGAGGAGGGAGGATTAATACAGAAGCATATTATATACATGTACCTACTTATATATCAAAATTGCATAATGGTTTTTCATAATTTGGTATCATTTTAACTACAGCAAGAAAAAAAAGAAGTAAAAACTTCTTTAATTCTAAAACATTCTGAAACAAACCTATTAATTTAGTGGTAAATCAGGCAAAGCAGAAATTTAGAGGCTAACGTGGCAGAGGTTTATTTACATCAAATGATTTTTAAATCATGGTATTTTATTTATAAAACCCCAAAGCATATGCTAAGGACAAAGGAATGAAATATGTATTTGTTGACTGTATTTTGTTTTGAAACTATTGCATGTACATTTTACCATACAGCAAATAAATATTTTTGTCCATGTAATAAAAAGCTTAAGAATTAAGACTGTTCATGAAAAAAACAAAGACAAGTAAATAAAAAATACCAATATGAATTACTAATTTATCTCAATAATGAAAACAAAACAATCTGCTATTTCCCTTCTCTATCTACTGAAATGCACAGAAATAAGGTCAACTCTTAAGGGAAGTTTTTAAGTAACAATTTCTGCCAAAAGGTAAAAAAGTCTTTGAAGATGGATCATTCTATACCTGAGCCACAAAATGCACAAAAAGAGTCTAGAACATCATACATAAGAAAGTAATATACTGAACAGTTGGATATGTGCAAATATTCAAAATACTCAACAGCAAAGAAGGAATATCTAAATCAAAAGCAAAAAAAGACTGCACTGGATCAAACATATACATAGATAAACCAGAAGTTCATAATAATAACACTAAAACTTCCTTTTTAGAGATAACTATAGCACCAATCATTACTCTGAAAATTAACAAACAGTCAAGAAGTTATTCTGTCTTTCCAGAAATAACTGCATTTCAGGTTACCTTTACTAAACCTTTTGTTAAAGAATTTTATTTAAATTTAAAAAAAGAATTAGAATCACCACTTCACACCTGCTAATGAAGCAATGAATCAGTGAAACAAAAAGAACAAACCAGTTTCTCCAATAAATCAATAGTGTGGAAACAAAAGGGATGGAAAGCTGTTTAGAATAAGAGGAATTTAGAAGACATGAAGACTGAGTATACATATGGTCCTTGTTTAGATCATGACTTAACCAACTGTAAAAAAAAAAATAACTTTAAGACAATGACAGAAGCTTCTATATGGATTACATATTAGATACTATCAAGAGATTATAGCCAGTATTTTGAGATGATAATGCCATTAGGATTTATGGTGGTAATTCAAATCAAAGTAAAAACAAAAAGGTCCTTATCAGTGACACATACTAAATTATTTACTGGCAAACTGACATTATGCGTGGAATACCTAATTCAGGAGACAAAACCAGAAGTAAAAAGGAAGAAACTGGAAAAGAGGCAGAATTTTCATTAAAAACTAAAATTTAGTGATAAGTATATAAGAGTTCATTATACTGTTTTTTTTTTCTTTTTTTTTAATGCAAGCTTGAAAATGCCCACAATAGAAAGGAAATAGCCTCCATGTGTGCACAAATGCATACACATACACACATTCACACACATAAAACCAGACTGCATCCGGTTTTCACACTACTTCTGCTTAGTATGAGGATAACTTATAAGCTGAGACTGAAAGAAAAGGAAGTTAGGGTCTCACTTAAGTACTCTAGAAAAGAAATAGGGGTCTGCACTAAGGTGGTCTTAATAGGAATGGGGAAAAAAGGTATTGGAAAGATGAAGTTTATGAAGATGGTGATTTATTACATTTATAGAGGAAAGTCAGCAACAACTTCCAGGTTTCTCGCTTGTTTAATTGTATACATGATGGTGTCATATACTAATATAAGAAAACAGAAAATGGAATTGATTTAGGAAAGAAAAACACTACATTATGTTATAGAAATCATTAAGCCCAAGAGTCAAATGAATTTTCCAGATGCCCATTATCTAGGGGAATCAAAGTACAGATCTAGGAGGAAAGTTATAGATAAAAGTCATAGAGTTGTCAATATTCAAGTGAAGCCATGAAACTCAATGAAATCATTCTAGAGGCTATGTGACAAACAGAAGAAGAGAAGTACAGGAAAGACCAGAGAAAGTGGGAGAAGTATATCCCATATCCAGGGGAGAGGAGAATGACAATAAGGAGTGAATCAAATGTATTAAATGATGCAAAGTAGTAAATTGAGTTAAAGGAATGGGGAGTTTCCCTGGGATTAGGGAATTAAATATTTATTGATTTTTGGCAGAAATATTTCAGTTAGGCAGTCAGACAAGATACCAGATTACAGTGGCTTCTTCAATCCATAAAAGAGAAAAAAATACCAACTTCAAGTACAAGTGATTTTTCAGGAAAGAAAGCAAACCACAGGGTGGTAACTATAAGAAGACAAAGATCAAGGGAGTTGTTACTTTTAGGTGGAAAATCTATATGCATTTGAAAGATGATGAAAAGAAATGATTTTTCTACAGTGTTGAAATATAGTGCTTTTGGGAGCAGTGAAGTAATAAAACTATTTTCAGTTAAATTTCTTAAGGTTAAATAGAAGACAAATCCTTCAATAAGTGAAAAGATAAATTTGAATATACACTAAATAAGAAAATAAACATTCACAACCTTGCTCTACATTAAATAAGAAAACTCATGGATACCTGTTTCCTTAATCCATTTCTTTAAAGCCAATAATATTGAGAATATTTATTTTAATAACTGTTTACAGGATGTCTACCTCTGCTAGATTCTATTGACAATATATCCCTCTTTCCTTCAATTACTCCAGTGTTGTGATAGAGACCAGTGTATAAATGGCTAACTATATAAACTACTTAAGAGGCATCAAGAGATAAAATTTAAGCATAAGAGGAAACTGGAAAACTTCAAGAAAATAACAGGAGCTAGATAAAACTTTAATGATACAAGGGTCTATGTTTCATTTCACGTAAGTTATCAAAAAATTTTCCTAAAAAAAGTTTTTTAAAGTTCAAATATTTAGGATTAGTAAAGGTTAAGAGTATTCAAAAGAACAAAACTGTGTTTAAAATATGGGACAAAATGATTAGAAAAAAGTATTAATTAATAATGGAATTTCAGTATCAAATAATAATTTATTCATGTTTATATGCATATATTTACATTTATGTGTTTAATTCATAAATGTACGTACCCCAAAGATAAATATACTTTAAAGGTTAAATTAACTTTCTGAGCATAAAACAAGTCTCAAATTAAATAAATATGTATATACTGCCCTCATGGGACAATAATATATAGTTCATTAAAGTAGAAAATGTATTGGACTCCTTGGATATAATTTATTCCTAATTATCCTAGCCAATGAAGGAACAGTACTGTATAACTAATAACATAATGAATCATCTAAAACTAATTTCTACATAGATTTCTGCTTAGATTAAATCACTTTCCTAGTAGAGGAGAAATAGCCCTGTGTTCTGATGCATGTAGGGGCAGTAAAGTGGCCTGGATTAGATCTCTACTCATGATAATTAAAGAATGTATAATCCTTGGTTATAAATAATCAAATTAGCCTTTAAATGCCATAAACAGTGGTTTATTTTTTTTTTCTTCTTTTTTGCCCAAATCACAATTAAAAGAAAATGACTTACAATTATACATGTTGGGACTTCACGAAGAGAATATTCCACTTTGTTGGGAAGCTCTTGATTGCCTACGAGCTCATATACAGCAGGATAGGATAACAAGTTTACCAGTGCTAGGAAAGACTTACAGAGAGGGGAGAAAAGAGTCATTTGAATGGTTTTTTTGTGTTTTCCAACAATACCCAAGGAAAGAGTCAAATGTTATATTTGTTTCATTATGAAGGCTAATTTTTAAAAAAATTTAATTAATCTACATCAACATAGCACACTTATATATAAGCACAAAACATTTAATAATCTAGCATTGAAGATGCATAATACTACAACTATTACAGAACATATAGAAGAGTTAGAAAACATTTTAAAATGTTATACATCTCTTAAAAATTTGATTGTAACAAAAAAATGAAATTACCCATGTCTGTCATTCTTCATATTACTATATCTGATAGTCAAGAAAATAAGAATTAGAAACTCTAGGCAAGACAATACACCCTGTATTTTCTTGCCCTCATTCATAAGATCATCTTTTAATACATCCACTAGAAATCCAACTAGTCTATACATTGTAGTTAATTTTAAAAAGTCATGGCTTTTCCTATCAAAACAACCTCATTTTTCTAGTACAATCTTACCATGATAAACCTTCCATGAAACTTTTTTTAATGTTTATTTTTTAGTTATAGTTGGACACAATACCTTTATTTCACTTATTTATTTTTTGTGGTACTGAGGCTTGAACCCAGGGTCTCGCATGTACGAGGCGAGCGCTCTACTGCTGAGTCACAACCCCAGCCGCTCCATGAAACTTTTAAGCTCCTCACTTTGTTTAATCCACTTAAAAGCAAATAAGAGTATTTTTTCAGGCAAATTTCATTCTTTGGCTTCCCAACTCAAAAGCATTCAGTCAGTGATTGTCCATCCCCAACACCAAGGCTAAACTCCTCAGTTTGACATTCAAGGCACTTTACCCAGTAATTGACATCTTTCTTCTCTTCCATCTCAAAATCCTCATTCCATTACTCCCCAGCTTGAAGTCACCATTTCAAATATACCTTCAGCCTCCTCTTAACTAAATGCCACCTCAAAATACTTTTCTTACTCATACTAACAAGTTCCTCCTACCACTTCACTTAGTTTTCAAGGTTCTCACTATATCTTGTCCTAAGACTTTCCAATTAACTCCATCTACTTCTAGAAGTTTCTTTACTTTGTCAATACTTTCACCTTTTGTTTGTATAATATTAATCGTATTTATTTGTAGTTATTAAGTGTTCTACTTAATGGTTAACATTTTTAAACAATTTCCACTAAACTTAGAAAATTAAAAAGAACACAACTCAATGTCTCACCTAATACCTGGAAAAACTTAAGTTACCAAATAAATGGCTGGAACAAAGACAAATACTCAGAAGAGTGATGGCAGAACTACTCCGTAATTTCTTATTTTCAGGTTAAAATTACTCATTACAAAACATAATATAATCTTTTATTTAACAGTATAACCATTCCACAGTCTTGTTTTAAAACCTGGAAAGGAGAGTTTATTTTATATCTCTTCCCTTATACTAAATGCAGTGTTACTTAACAAATAATGGTGCTTACATGGTGAATGTATTCAGTTCTAAAGGGATTAAAACAAGTACTATTTCTGAATAAAATATGAATTCACACTAAATTTTTTTAAGTATCCATATTTTTCCAAATAATGTAATATTCCTGAAGATGGAACTTCTAACCAACATAGAAAAAACATAATCTATGACTTAAAGTATATGGATAGCTATAAAATTGTCAACATAAAAACTTAGTTGTCATTTAAAGTTAGTTTACTAATCTAAAAGTATGCATTAAAGAAAAATGCTGATTATCAAGGAAAGAATGTTTAGGGAGTACGTGTATTAAACTCATATAGAATCAATTTGCAGGGAATCTAAAGGGTTCATGGCCTTAGGAAACCACTACATAAATTAACCACCTGGTATTGACTAGAAAGATGATTAATGAAACAGATTTCAAAACAGCTTGACTTTAATTCAACTCAATATTATCATGAAAATATAAATTAAAAGAACAAGTTAAAATGCTTTATAATTTGGATATGCAAACATTTCATATTGTTCTTAATATGAATCCAGCAATATTTAGATACTATTATAGATAAATATTTTTAAGTTTAAAAATGGCTTTTCCAACTATAACAATAACATATCACAAAAAAACTTTTAATAAATGTCCATTGTGATAGAACAAACAATACAGTTTTTATATAACACATGTATCATAATACATTAAGGGTTTCTGTATTATTTATATATGAACAACTCCATCTGTATTTAGAGAACCCTTTTCTCTTAAGAAATGAAACAATTTGGACCACATATATAATTATGTTAACTTCTGATATTCTAGTCTAAACAAATTGACAAAAATAATTCAATAAATATATTTAAACTAAAATAACCTTAACAGAATTTCAAAGAGATTCGAGAAGACTTCAGCAGCTTATCTCTAGAAGAAACAAATCCGTTTCTTACATGCTAAGCATTTTTAAAAACAAAAGCATACTGCAAAACTGGTATATATTAAGCAGTTCTACAACTAAAAATTTTACAATTTACATTAGTTTCCCACAAAAATACTGCTAGTGTCAGACATTAATTAGCTTAAAATTTGTATTAGCTTAAAACAGAAATCTACTCATGACTGTTTTGAAGAAATGAATATGTACTGTACAATAATAAGGAAACAAATGGGAGGTCAAATATTTAATACAGTTTAAGACTAAAACATAAAAGTAATCATGTAAAGCCACAAATTTTCCTTGCATTAAAAATATTTCAGGGTGATTTGATCATCTATTCACTTATTTATTCATTCAGAATACTTTTACTCCAGAAGATTATCACTAGTTATGCAAGATGCTAATAACAAAAAATATGAGTAAACGAATACTCCTTGCCCTCAAGGACTCGCAGAGTAATGTAGGACAAATATACTATCAGATCATTTCAATCAGTGCCTTAAATAGCCCTATGGTACTATACAACAGAGAGGAGTGGTGGGTTATCAGGAGGATGACACTGCATAGCAAAGTAAAGAGAGGTGAGAAAGATGGCTACACAGGGAGCAGGCTGGCTCCAGAGATGTGGCTATTTAATTATCTTTATCCTCTATGAAAAGAGAAACTAACAACTGTTTTCAGAAAATAAGTGAAAATAAGTGAAATGTTTTACTTTTTAGATAGAAAGTTCTAAAGGAAATGATTTTGATAGTACTCAGAAAGTGGCTCAAAGAGGTAATTTCAAGGCTAGAGGTAACTCCATGGTAGAGCATATGTTTAACATGCATGAGGCCCTTAGGCCAGTACAAAAATAAAATAATAATAATCTCAGAAGAAAAGAAGTAAGAGTGTAACAAGAGTACAATTCATGCTTTCCTGCATGAACCTACTGCACGACCACTGGTGGCTCAGTTCAGTTATATGTATCTTTAAAGAAATTTGCCATCCTTAATTGTTAAACTAATGGCATAAATGCTACTTTTCACTTATTGGTCTTTTACATCTGTGGAATCTTCATTCACACCACTTTCATTATTAATACTCAAAATTTTGGATCTTTCCCTAATTAATCTAGTGAGGATTTATTTCAAAGAACTGACTTTTGGCTTTGTTACATTCTCTAGTTTGTCTTTGTTCTGTTTCATTGATTTCTGCTCTAATCTTTATTACTGCTTTCTGCTTTTGCTTTGGGGATACTTGTTCTTTTTCTAGCTTCCTTGAGTAGAGACTTCAATCATTAATTTTAGATCTTTCTTATTTTCTAATATAAATATTAAAGCTAAAATTATTACTCTTAACACCTACATCCAAAAATTTTGATACACTAAATTTCCATCCAGTTTGAAATATTTCCCAGTGTCCTTAGTAACTTTCTCTATGATGGCCTGTTATTCAGAAGTATGATGTTTAATTTCCAATTTTTCTAGTTTCTAGTTTTCAACTTTTTATAATTCTATTATTGTCATAGAATGTACTTTTTATTATTCCAATCATCTTAATTTAGACTTCCATTTAGCTCATGAACAACTGAATCTTTCTTTCACCCCCCTCTAATCTCACATTTTATCATTTCTATTAGCTTAAGTTCACTCTTTCTTCTGCCATATTTAAATCTTCTGTTAAATGCACCTGAAAATTTTTGTTTCACACAAGTTTTTTTTAGTTTAATAATTTCTATCTGGCTCTTTTGCATAGTTGTTGTTTATCAGTGATTTCTGCTTCATTCATTCATTGTATGCATATTTTCCTTCAGATTCCATTTCTAATAAATGCTAAAAATCTTTGTAAAATAATTCCAACCTCTTCATTTCACCATTATGTCTTAGTTGCTTTTTATTTTAAGTATAAGTCATATTTTCCTTTTCCTTCAAACATCTAATAATTTGGGATTGTATCTCAGGCATCATGTGAATATATTAAATTCATTACACAGATTCTGGATTGGTTAAATTCCCTAAAGAAAATGTAGGTTTTTAAAATTTGTTGTTTTGTTTTGTTTTGTTTTAACTTAGCAGTTAATGTTGGCTGGACTCAACCTCTAAACCCTTACATCTTTGGTAGGCATGATCTGCAATCTCTACAAAATTAGAAATTCAAGCTTACTTTAAAGTATAGGGGTAAGCCTGTGTTTAATTCATTGTTTAAGGGTTAGGCTACATATCAGAAAGAAAATATATGTACAGAGTTTGAAGTGGCATCTACATGGCATAATCTTTCCCAGGGAACTACCTCCATTTTCCAGCTGCTTTGTAGGGCTAAAATGTGTATTCTGATTCTTTAGGGGTTTTAGTCTATATTTCTATCTATGGAGTATCAACTGGTATTTCTCCTCAAGCAAAAATCTGATAAATCCAGAGAGTCAAGTAGTACCATCAATACACTGACTCTCTTTCATTTTCTGCCTATTTATTCATCACTGCAATACTTTTAACCATTCTATTTTAAATTATTTTCCCAGAATTTATAGTTTTTACAGAAGTGAAATAGTCTATCAGTCTAGAAAGAGGGATTTCTGAAATGTTGGGTTTTTCTTTTTTTATATATCTAATTTTGTGACAACCTTTGGAAAAAATAATCCACATTCCCATAAAGTCAATTTAGGAATCATCTTCATCTAAATAAAATAAATAGGTTAATGTAAAAAAGTCATTTAATTATACAGAACACTACATGGGTGTTAAATTTTTTTTTCTGCCACATTATTCTAAACGATAGCATCTTCTCTCTGCCCACCAAATAATAATGACAAATAGTCATGAAAATTTTTTATTATATTCAAGCCTATGGCCAAAAAGCTTCTTGGATTTTTGTTTTCATTACTTGGATTTTGTTTGTTTTGGGATCTGTTTTTTCATAACATGACTGGTGCATTATTACTCTTTATAAGGGAAAGAACTCTAATAAAAATAATATGAAAAAAAGCAAATTTAAAAATGTTATTACCAAGAAATATTGGTATTTTTATTGTTCACTAAATTTATTTTGAAAAAAAAAACTAGATATGAAAAAGAGGGGAAGACATATTAGGGAAGTATTCTGATTACAACTAAACATAGATAAAGCCTGAATGAAGTCATTTCTGTAAGATACATTTCAAATATGTATATTATTTGTTAAATAACTTCTTACCTTTTGACAGCTTCGGTCAATAGGATCCACTGGAGTAGATCTGGGATGGGTTACCCTAACATCATCACTTCCACATTCCAGAGTGGACCATAATTCATTTATAAGTGCACTAATAAACCCTAGGAAGAATTATTAATTCATGTCATATTTATAGTATAATATTTCCTATGGAAGAAAGATGATCATCTCTGTGAAAGACTGGTCTACTCTCACAGAAGATATATACTTGCTTATTCTATAAGAAATAATCTCCACTCTTGATAAAAATGATATCTGCTATTGTCAGTATATTTTTATGACACCAACACCATAAAAATCTTCAATGAAAAAATTCTGAAAAACTATTTTTCTAAATGACTGCTGAATCTGAGTTAAAGCTTTCATCCTTGGCCAATAACAGCTCTGTTTTACTTTTTAAAAATTATAAGACTTATACTTTCCTCTGCAAATGAGCTAAGAGCACAAGACAGCCTGAAAGGCTGTGTGCTTTGGTATGAAGGGAGAGAAAAGAATGTATAAGGAAACAGGGTAGGCATCAAAAGAATATAAGTATGTTTTTTGGCAATTCCAATTCCATAATTAGAAATAGTTTGCATTTCATATAACTTTTGCTTCAATACAGACATGGCACCAGAAAAGAGAAAGAGAGAAAGAGAAAAAGAGAGAAAGGGGAGGGATTCTTTCATTGTGACAAAATATAAACCCCAAAAGCACTCCCCCAATGACCTACATACTCCAGCCACACCCCACTGCTTTCAGCTACCACTCAGTTAATCCCTATCAAGGGATTAATGCACTGATTAAGTTAAGTCCTTCATAACACATAATTTCATCTCTAAACCTTCTTGCATGTCTCACACATAAACTTTTGAGGAACACCAAACCATACTGCTATGGTTAGACATGTGGCATCCTCCATATATCTAAACCATGCGGCTACGATTTAGATATGTGGTATCTCCAAAAAGTTAAATGATAGGAGGTGTGGTGTGACTGGAGCAGGTAGATCATCAAGGGCATGCCTTTGGATTTTATATTTTGTCATAATGAAGGAAATTCCCTCTCCCTTTCCCCCTTTTCTCACCCCTTCCTGGTGCCATGCACCTAGTTGCTTTTCTCTGCAACTTTTTTCCACCATGATGTTCTGCCTTACTGCAGGCCCTGAGGAATAGAATCAGTCATCTATGGACTGACAGCTCTGAAACCATGAACCCCAAAATAAACATTTCTTCCTCTAATTGTTCTTGTTGGGTCGTCTGGTCACAGCAAAAGTAAACAGTCTTTAAATACTTCTCATGTGTAATACTATATAACTAAATGAAAATGAATGCTGAACTTGATTATTGAATTCCTCCATGAAAAATCAAATCATACAGAAAAAGTAAAAATACCTAATTATAATCTCAGTAAGCTCATAATATTTGAATAGTAAGAGTCCTCTCCTATAACAGAAAAATGCAGGCTCTTAAAACAAAAATACAAGGGTTAAAATTTTAAATCTGCCAGTTTATTAGCTGTACATGTGTGCAAAGATCCCTTGGGATCTTGGGAGCCCAGTTCCCCCATTTGAAAACTGACATAATAATAGTAAATTTTAGGGTTCCCATGAAGTATAAGTGGGATTATAAATGTAAAGTTCCTAGTATTGTAACCAAAACATCATAGGAGCTCAGGCAGCAGAAATCATCCTGCTTTTGTCCTGAAAAAAAACTGCATTTAACCCTCTCATGAAAAGCTTGATAATTTGGGATGGGGGGTGGAGCTCAGTGGCAGAATGCTTTCCTACCATGTGTGGGGCACTGGGTTCAATCCTCACAATCCTCAGCACCACATAAAAATAAACAAAATAAAGACATTCTGTCCATCTATAACCACAAATAAATAAATAATTTTTTAAAGCTTGATAATTTGATGATACAAGGTTCAGAGGCTTAATGGCTTGACCAAGAATAAGATCAGAAATTGAATCTAGACTTCAAATGCTTCAATTAATTTGCTTTTGTGTACTATATACCACATGAATTTTATTCTAAGAAGAAAACACATGTAGTTCAGTTTAGGATACTTATTGTCCAAAAACATGTTTCATTATGCAAGTAGCACAAATTACTTCAGCCAAAAAAATAAATTAAAATGTACTATAAGAAATACATATTCATTTAAGGAGAGATTCAATAGTGATCACTGATGTCATGATTCATCAACTCTAAGCTTTAAAAATACAATCAGTATCTCTATTAGGAATTATACCTTATTCAGTGCTCAGTAAACCTTAACATATGACACATTAAGTTCCCAGTGTTTTAACTTCTAACAATTCCAACTGATATTGAATAATACTGATTGCAAACTCCAAAGTTAGTGTGTAGGCTGAGTGATTAGAAATGCTTTCAAAGGGGCAAGAAAAGGTATAAGGAAATGGTATGTATGTATGATAGTCATTATAAATAAATGTGAATTTGGACATACATATAAGCCACTGAAAATGAGCCTTAGAGAATCCTGTCAGATGGGACTGTATCCAAAAGAGGATGATATCCTGGCTCATAAAATGATGACAGATTCTTAAAGAATCAAGTATATTTTAGTTTAGTTCATTATATATCATTGCTTTAAGAAAAAAGTACAAGGATGTATACATTTCATATAAAAAAAATTTCTCAGTGGAATTTCATGAAAAATGAAATACAATAAGGAAATCCTGTAAGTTCAATATAAGGCTTAACTTGGATAAAAGAACTTATGAGTAAATATCCTGGTATTTGATCACACCAGTTAAATTTTCAGTTTTCTTGCTCATTCTAAATAACTATACTTTTAATTAAAACAAAACACTTACCTGAATTTTGTAGTGCTACTGCACCTGCTGCTGTTGATGCCACTTGTGTAACCAAAACTCCATAGCCAAACTTTTTCTGCCTACTTATCTAACAAGTAAATAAGACAGCAATAAGATGCAAAAAAAATCATGCTAATGTTTCATTCATACATGTTACATACAGAGTTACTGCTTTTATTAATAGGAATATCAAATATTCCTTCAAGACGATAACAGCAGGAAAAAAATCAAAACACTACACAAAAAGGAGTCTTTACAATTTTGACAATCTTATTTCAGATCTGCATTCTACTCCTAACTCTATAACCTTCAACAAGTCACTTACCTTTCTTGACCTAAGTCTCCTCAAACATAAAATAAGAAACAAACCAGATGAAAAGTGAGAGTGCCTCCAACTCTAAATTTTATTGCCCTATTATTACTTTTTCAGTTGGTTCCTCAATAAATGTCCTTATTAATAAACCTCTATTGACTTCCAGTTTCATTATGCTTTCAAGCCATCTAACAACTTTGATTTCTTCTTAAAATGACAATTATTTTTAGAGGCACTATTCCTAAAGAAGGGAATAATCAAAGAGAGTCCCAGTTGTTAATATACCAGTTTCTAACAGAGCACTATAAAAATTCTCAAATAATTTGTTTTACAAATATTATATATGTATTCAGGGTAAAGTGCCAAAGTATATATAAATCGCTTAGCATAAATCAGAATAAAAAATAGAGAAATATATTACAATATGAACTCTGCCTCAGACTGGTTAAAGTCACGTGATTTATAAAATGTCTGACTTCTGAACAGCTACCATTCAGAGTTTATATATTCTAAGCATTTCATTGAACATATTTGTTTTTAATCTCAGACTTTTAAAATACAAACTGTACTCTCAGTTTTAAGGGCAAAAAAGTACAAATTAGGAACTAAAAACAAAACATGGGGAAAGTAAGGCTTATTTCTCAAATTTTCTGTTGCCATGTCTTTATAAGTTTGTCTTTCTTTTCTATCTTTATTAGTCACATTTCCCATTTTCCTTAATTCATAGTCCAATGTTCAATAAAAGAGGAATCATGCACTGGATGAAGACAGCATTGAAGCACAGATATAACTAAATTCTCTATACTAGAAGTTCATTTCAATAAAACAAAATAAAATCATGTATCTACACATATAAACCTAATATCATGAGACCATGAACCAGTATAGATACATTTTATCCACCAAATGTAATCAGGGAAATTCATTCAGAAATGACTTGTTTTTCATGTGTACAGACAAGAAAAGATTGAAATATTTGTTTTCTTATAGATTTAAACAAAAGCAGAAAATTAGAATTAAAGACAGTAAGAAGGGGGAAAAAACAGGCATTAAGCAATCTAATAATGTCAAACACCACAGCTGCAACAAGACAGAGAAGGAAAACACTTTTACACTGGTAACAACAAAAATTACACTTGATCTTAGCCAGAAGGCCAAGAAATAACAGAGAAAAACACTTAAAAGCAATAAAGCACCAATTTAAAAAAAGCAATAAGTAAATAGAAGGAAGATCAGTAGAATACAGAAAGGGGAAGAAGTGGAGGAAAAGAGGAAATACAGAGCACTGAAAGAGAGCAAAATATATTCCATGTATGTATGATTGTGTCAAAGTGAATCCTCTATTATATAAACTACAATGCTCAATAAAAACATTTAAAATAAAAAAAAATACCTAGGATCCTAAAAAGACCATATCTCTAGGAATATATACTCAAAAGAAAACTGAATACAATTCAGTGGCCTCTGACTATCTGATTAAAGATTAGCTCATATTGTAAATTTTATTTAACAATAGAATTAATCCCTCTACCTAGGTACATGTATGACTGCACATATGGTGCAATGCTACATCGTGTACAACGAGAGAAATGAAAAGTTGTGCTGCAATTGTGTACAATGACTCAAAGGCATTCTGCTATCATATATACTCAATTAAAATTAATTAAAAACATATAATCCTTCTATAAATAATTTTGTGCCTTTTTAAACACTGAAGCATAAACATTCAAACATACATATAGATTCAAGTTTTTTTTCCTCTAGAAGTTATACCCAGTTTCAGTACATACAGATGTTTGATATCATATTTATAAAAACAGCAAGATGATTAACTGAATTTTTAAATTCATCTGGCTGTTTGCAATTCTGTAAACACAGTCACAGACACCAATATCAATTCTCTAATGCTTTCCTAAAAACAATATCAAGTATTATGATGCTATATGGCTTTTTAATTGAGACTTAATAACCTCTCCCTGCACAGAGAACAGAATGATGCTCTTAATGGCTTTTAAACAACAAAAATTCCTTTTTTCTGTGACAGATGGTAATACATACCTGTAGTTTTTTTGCATATCGGTTGAACATAAATGTCACACATTCATTGATGGCACCTGTTCTTTGAAGAAGTAGTAATCCTTTGGGAGTGGCAGCAAAATTTAATAAATCATCTAACAAATTCTCTTCCCAAGCCATACTGAAACAGGTAAAAGAAAGATAGAGCTTTTTTTAGTACACTCAATGAAAAGAAAGATGATAGCCAATAAATAAATTTATGCATACACAAATGGTAGCTAACTACTCAATAGATATTTTTAAGTAGAACTGAAACAATGGTTTATTAGATAGTGATTTATTTTATTCCTATATCTTCTATACCAATAATTTTCCTTCACTGAATTAAATATTAACTCCATATGTCAGCATTTCTATTCCACCACTTCTCTCATCCATGCCTTAAGTTTATTCTACTCTCCCGTTATAATTCTGCTCTTTCTGGAATCTCTAATCCTTGACTCTCCATTATTTCTGTACTTTCTATTCATTATAAAGTTCTGTTTTCTGACTTCCTAAAGCATATTTTCTACATTATCATTTTATTTTCATAGGTTTTTATTTTATTTGGGGGAAATGTCAATTTTTTTCTTAGTAAACACCTATAAGAAAGACCAACTATTTGCTCCTCAGAAAAAATTGAAAGGATCCCTAAAGAAAAAAAAAAATTGGAAAAGCACTGAACTTCATGGATATACATACACACATATAAAATTACTTGTCAACTAAAATTTTTAAAAGATGGGATTTAGAATTTTCTGGAATTGGGGCTGGGGTTGTGGCACATGTGAGGCCCTGGGTTCGATCCTCAGCACCACATAAAAATAAATAAATAAATAAATAAATAAATAAATGAATGAATGAATGAATGAATGAATGAATGAATGAATGAATAAATAAATAAATAAATAAATAAATAAATGTATTGTTTAAAAAAAATAATAATTTTCTAAAATTGATAAAATACTTTAAGGACCAGAAATGATATATTTAAATCACAGAAATTAGGCAAACATCAAAACAATTTTTAAAAGGCCATTAGAGAAATGATTAATTTACATTATCTAAAAACAAGGGATTATATCAGTTACCATCAATTCCAGAAAACAATAGAGTATAGCTCCAAATATTGATGAGGAATAATTCTCTATCTTAATACTTATATTCAGATAAACTACCACTTAAAAGAGAAAATATGTGTGTAGGTGGCAGAAGACAGTAGGTTGGAAGGAAAGTAAACATTTTCAGACATAAAAAGATAAAGATAGTTAACCACCCTCAATATGTATTAAAGAAGGCTGAGGATATAGCTCAGTTGGTAGAGTGCTTGCCTAGCATGCACAAGGCCCTGGGTTCAATCCTCAGCACCACACACACAAAAAAAAAATTATTAAAGAATAATTAAAGGATAACTATGTTTGGAAACTTAAGACTATTAAAACAAATCACAAATTTTAAAATTATAATTAAAAATACTAAACATATTCAACAAATTTAGTATTTGACAGTATAAAGAAATAAATTGCAAAATTCTAGATAACTAAAAAGCATTGAGAATAAATGAAAGTGTGCTAAGATCCATGTTGCATCTCAAGACATGAAATATATACCTACTAACTTAAGACTTTCACTTAAAAAATATAAATTAAGCTGTAATTTAAGGCCTGTAATCCCAGAAGCTCAAGAGGCTGAGACAGGAGGATTGCAAATTCAAAGCCAGCCTCAGCAATGGTGAGGTGCTAAGCCACTCAGTGAGACCCTTTCTCTAAATAAAGTACAAAATAGGGCTGGGGATGTGGCTCAGTGGCCAAATGTCCTAAATTTAATCCCCAGTACCTGCCTCCACAAAAATTAGATATACTTAAATATATACACAGATATCCTAGTGATACTGACTTTAAAAAAAAACAGAATAAGAAACATTTTATCAATCTAAAATAAGACAGCAAAGGAGAGAAAAAAAAACAATAGAACATCAACATAAAATATAAAAGAAAAAAATAATAAGCCCCCAAAAGTAGTTTCAGAAAAATGTAAAATATAAGAACCCTAAACTCACCTTAAAAAAAAAAGAAAAAGAAATTTAAAGATTGGGTCAAAACACAAAACACAAGTACAACATGTCTGAATATTCTTGAGAATTCTTATTATGTGCAGAAAATAAAGTCTTACTGAGTTCTATGCAATAGTTTTAACTAATATGGTATACAAATACAAACTACAGCAAAATGAACTTAGCAACATTAATATGGTAAAATTTAAAACAAAGTTATAAGAATGAGAGATTATGTAATTACTTTTATATGTGTGTGTGTGTGTGTGTGTGTGTGTGTGTGTGTGTGTGTGTGTGTATATATATATATATATATATATATATCCAGCTTTCAGGTGAAGAATATTCTTTTCAAGCAAACAGATTTTTCTTTCAACTGATCCTATAATAGGTCACAAAGTAAATTTAACCAATGTAAAAAAAGATACACATACAATTGATGGTCTCTGAAAAGCATCTAAATCAAAAATAAAATAATGTAGTAACAACTATGAAAACTAGAAAATACATCCCAAATATTTCATGTATTAAAGACTAAAATAAAATTTTCAAAAAGTACATAGAACAGCTTAATAATGAAAGTGCTACACATCAAAATTAGTGAGTGTGGCTAATGTAGATTTATTTGCCCAATCTCCATTCTCAATCCCTTTTTCACTTTGCACTACTACAGAAATAAGAGAGGTAAAGAAGGAGGGAGAAAGGAAAAGAGAACATTATAAAACCCAAATCCAATCTTAAAAACAAATGTAATGAATTGGTAAAGAAGAGAGAAAAAGTAAAAAAATACTAACAATAAAAAAGTGGAGACAATGGCAACTGGAGAACATTTTCTTTTTAAATCACATACAAATACTCAAATAAATTTATGATAAAATATGTAAATACAGAGATAAAATGCTATTTTTTGGAAAATATAAACAAAAGTCACTTAAAAGAAATGGAAATCTTACATTAGCCTTTAAAGAAAATTAAGTTTAAATGACTCCTTCCCAAAAAAAGTGTGTGGCGGGGGGTACAAAAGAACTTGAAAATCATGTCATTGCATGATATGAAGGAGTACATATAATTCTGGGGAATAAAAGCAAATATTTTAGTAGATATTTTCTGCTAATATTGTTTATATTTCCTTCAAATTTTAGTAAAGATATCCAAATTTTCAAGCCAGAAGGAAGATCAGACCATGGAATGTTATCACTCTATAGTCTGGGGGAGGGGCAGTAGCAAAGATTGCTTTGTTAGCATGAAGAACTACATTTTTCAAATGAGCAAATATGGAGAGTTAGATGCACTCATGGTTATTAAATTTCTGGTGTTTAATTTTGGAGAGATCACAGTTGAACTTTGCAGTTCAAAGAATCCCTCCAATTTGACCAAAGACACTTTAAAGGTTGGTTGGGGTAGGTTTGGCATCTTGTTTTATTCTATAATTATAATCTTCTTGATTGTGATCCTAATGATAGTCTCAAATAGCTTGCAGTCATTGATAAAAGGAAAACCAAACTTGTAGAACTTTTTTTTTGGAGTTTTGAATCAATCTTTAGATTAAAAGGACATCAGTACCCTAACAGTATTATGCATCAGCTTCTATCTTCAATATAGTAAGCACCCATAAAGGGAGTATAAAATACAAGATCAAAATTATTAAAACACAAAAATACTAAGTTTATACTGGTTACTCTTTCTTAATTTTACCTTTATCACATCAATGTTAGTCGTACTGTCATTAGAATTGGGGGCTAGGGAAAATTTTACTCATTAACTCTTTCATTGATTCAATCAAGGAATAGTTATCTGGTGCCTGCTATTGCAGACATAAGCCTAGTAAACTATTCCGGATGATTATCCATTCAGGTTTTACCAAAGAATCAAGAAACAAATAATGCCTATCTTACATCGGCTATCTCAATAAAGCAAAAGAAGAAAGAAACTCAACTCTGTTAGGTAAAGTGAATTCTAATGAAAACAGTTCTGACTATTTTATCAACAGCTTTATTATATTTTTTATTTCTCTAAGACATTGTGATAGATAATTTAGATGTTGACTTAAGTAAGGAATATCTAGAAAACGGGCAAAGAACTATTTGGGGATGTGTCTATGAGGTGTTTCCAGAGGAGATTAATAATACAAGAATCTCAGGAGAATAAGTGGCAAAGATCTATCCCAGCCCCATATAGAAAGGCACCATCCAGTTGATTAGGAGCTGAGACAGACTAGAATAAAAAACAGAAAGGGGGAATTGGCCTGTCTCTAACCTAGAGCTGGGATACACTCCTCTCCTTTGAAATTGGAACTCCAGGTTATTTGACCTTTGGGCTCCAGGATATATACCAGAAGATCTCCAGTCCTCAAACTTTCAGACTTTGAGCAACATTATCAGCATATCAGTGTCTCCAATTTACAGAAAACCTGGGTGGGACTTAGCCTCTATAAATCATGTGAGTCAATTCCCCTAAATTTATGGGGATTTATATATATATATATATATATATATATGGATATATAAATAGATCCTATTGGTTTTGTCTCAATGAAGAGCTCTAACACAGATAATAACATCAGGGGCTGGAGAACCTCCTTTTTCCCTGGCATCAAGTTTTGGTGTAGAAACAAATTTTAAAAAAGGAAAAAAGAAATTTTCATGTGTAGCACATCTCTATTTTAACACTCTCTCTCTGCACTTACTCCTAAATATCTACTCCTCCTACATGGGAGAAGGAGAAATTTCGAAAATCTGAAGGGTGAATTAAACATAACCGGCTAAGTAAGGCCTCTCCTCCAGTCCACTTCCTTTTGGGGACCCATCAGCCTGTAGGAATCACACATTCTGCTCTACACTCCTATACAGCTTTCTGATGGCATCAAGTTCTGCCTTAGAGTGAAGCCTGTAGCTGCCCACTGCCAACTGCAACTGAACTCAACTTGTCCCATTCCTGATACTAAAACTAGGAAGTCCATGTTAATTAGTGTTTTGGTATGCTTGGCTTCTCTATTAATAGCTTCAGACTTCACAAGTGAGTGAGTGGCATATAATTTATTAGCTCCTTCACCCTCTAACATCAGAGTCTAAAAATATTACTGACATAAAATGTTAAATACATTAATTATGTGCCCTATCACTTCTAGCCTATTGACCACATTATTTCTTCCATTTGAAATAACATCCTCATCTTTTTTAACTCAGTTAGTATTCATGTATTCTTTAAAACTCAGTTTAACAATTATTTTTTCTAGATTTCCCTACAAGCTGGCTCCCAAGAAACCCTTTATAGCTCATATCATACAACTAGCAGAATCTACCACCATGCTGTCTTTACTGTACTCTATCTATACTACATACTATGTTCCCATAGGTCTGTAAGCATCCTCAGAAATTAACAGAGTAGTCACTCAGTCTAATAATTGGATGAGTGAGTGGAAAATTGATGCATGAATGAAAATGAAAAAGTGACAAGCCATATGAAAGGATGTCAAAGTGAAAAAAAATCTAAAAACGAAAATACAGAAATGTTTCTTCTCATTGTCTCAAAACAAGGCAAAAAAAAAAAACAGCGGCTAATATAAGTGTTTCCTGTGTTAGGAAAAAATATTTAGTATTTTCTAGAGAATTAAGTATTTATTGAACCATTATATTGTTAAGAAAATACAGGCTGGGGTTGTGGCTCAGTGGCAAAGTGCTCCCCTAGCATGTGTGAGACACTGGGTTCAATTCTCAGCACCAAATATAAATATATAAAATAAAAGCCCATCAATGACTAAAACAAAATTTAAAAAAGAAAAAAAAACACAAAACATCTTTGTTTAATAGATTAAATTTAAATATGCCTACCTAAAAAAAAAAGAAAAAATTTAAATTTACCTCTGAAGTTTCTAAGAAAAAATTTAAATTTACCTCAAACGTTTCTACACACACAAAAAAAAATCCCTCAAAGTTTTCCCTAATGATTATCTTTTCAGACTAAGACAATAGTCAATTATAAAATTACAAGCAAATCCAGGAACATGTCATCAGATCTTACTTTTTTTTTAAAGACAGAGAGAGAGAGAAAGAGAGAGAATTTTTTTTAATATTTATTTTTTAGTTCTCGGAGGACACAAAATCTTTGTATGTGGTGTTGAGGATCAAACCCGGGCCGCACGAATGCCAGGCGAGCGCGCTACCACTTGAGCCACATCCCCAGCCTAGATCTTACTTTTTACAAAAATATTTTCCCCATTAACCTGACTCCATTGTCTATTGATATCTGTAAAGAGAAACACCTAAATCAAAAATTGTAATAAATTCTGATTTAAATAATTTTCAAATTCCAAAACTTAACTAAACAGCACTCCCACCCATATTTAAGTATAAATGGGCCTTGCTAACATTTGAAAATATTTTACTTATTTTGACCACTCCAATTAAAATTTTATTTTTAGAATCTTGCAATTCTCCACAATTTTCTGGAAGCAATTCAGTAAATCAAGTTTCCTAACCCAAAATTAAGTACAGAATGAAGCAAGTATAATAAATATTGCTAAAATTTTTTAAAGGTTACAAGTATCACAAAATTCTCTGAACTGTAATTTACTTTAAACCTGTATACAAACATTGCCTTCTTGTAAAATGTTTTTGCCATAGTACTCAATTTAAATAATTTAATAACAATTTTATTTATAATTATATTTATAATTGTCTATTTATTGTTTAATAATTTTAATAAATTATTTTAAAATTAATTCAGCAAATTAATGAACAGATGAATTTACCAATTTTACTTACATGTTTTGGGATTCCTGGCTTACTGAAGAAACAGAATCAGAACCCTCTACTGGAGTAGGAACTCTTTCTGACATCAAACTTGTCTAAAAATTAACAGATTGATTTACATTACTCATTTTCTTATTGATAGCACTAGTCATAGTATCTCTTGTACAGCATCTTTATTTGTGCTTTATATACTTAAATTAGTTTACCCAGAAAACTTATTTTATGTCTGTTAAGCATCATATAAAGTATTTCATAAATGAGTATATAAATAAATGTACAAAAATAAAAGCTTAGTAATTCATTTAATACATACATACTATACAGTTATTGTTATATTATATTCTCCACCATCCATAACAAAACACAACTTTCCTCCAAAAATGTCTCAGAAGTAACTTCCAAAGAAGAACATTACTGTATGCAAAGAGACTTTATCTAAAATCATTCCTATCAGAGGAAAACACTTTGAAAGTATCTTGTTAATTCTCAGGAAATAGTGAAGTCCTCCTGTATCAGATTAAGAAGCTTTGTGTCCCCTGAATACTCTGATGCTAAATAAGTCAAATGTGATAACCCAAATATTTTCTCCACAATGTGATACTACAATGATGCCTATATCTAAAGTAAACATCTGCAGTTTTGGAAAAAAATGAAACTTAAAAATGCTTACCTTCTTCCATGCTTTCGCTATAGATTCATGCAAACTATAAGGCAGTAACACCTGTAAGCCTTCACATGTACCATATATTTGACGACATACAGAAATAAAAGCTCCTTTTACCACAGGCAACAATTCTGATCCAGTAAAAATAGAAATATCCTCATCAAGAAGTTTCTTCGAAAACTGGGCAATTATATGAGCACCTGTAAGACTAAAGGGTGATACCTACAAGTGATTCCAAGGTCATATAATCTTGACTTCATAAAGTACTACCAAAAAGTCTAGCCTTGTCACAAAAACTCTCCATTTGCTTAATTCCTTTTAGTCATCCTCCAGCTTTTCTACTACATTTCAAATACTCCTGTTCCCACCCAAGTGTAGATGTCTAATAATGAGAGCTGCTTCAGGGGAATGGCGGAAAGACTATCCAGATAGGAAAAAAAAACAAAACTAGAATACATTTAAAAGGTTGTAGATGTCATGTGCCCTGGGCCACATATTAAGGTATTCTTGATTTTACAGTGAAAACATAATACTAAATTCTTCATTCTTACCACTATTGTCACATACCCCTTCCCATTAGCAGGACTCAGTTCCCCATCTAAAGAGCTGAGTCATTTTTACTAGGAAAAATAGATATATAACAACAATAGATAAAAATACTTATAATGTGCCAGGCATTGTTCTAACTATTTTAAATGCATTTATTTCTTACTGTATTCCTTAAAAAGCAGGTATATTATTCAACTTTTATAGATAAAGACATGTAAAGCTTAGAGTTAAGTAACATATACACTATAACACAGCTAATACAAGGTGGAATCAGGGGAGTATAGGCTCTCTAGTTCCAGAGCAACAGACTTCTTTTTCTAGCTTTTTTAAAAAAACAATTAAAAAAAAAAGTAGAAAGTAGGTTGAATAGAGCATAGAATCTCTGTGTTCTCTGTCTACTTTCAATAGCTCTGAACATTTTGGCAGACTTGTTTATGTTCTGACCTCCTTCCCTGCCACCAGCCTAATACAAGATAAAATGCCAGACATCAACTTGTTACCCAGTGTCCATCTGACAAAAGTTTACTTTAAATGCCAATATCCACACCTAAAACAATTAATTACAATTTTTACAAGCAACTCTTTCTGTTTTTACTTATTCTTTTTTAGTTATATGTGACAGTAGAATGTATTTTGAAATATTACACTTTTTGGAGTATAACTTCCCATTCTTGTGGTTGTAATTAAAAATTTTAACTTCCTGTTAAGCCACATCAAAATTCTTGTGATGTCTTAAAGATGTCTTTTTACAATACGTGTGCTCAAATTAGAATTCAAACAGTTCCTTAGAGAGCATTAGGTTGCTATTATTTAAAGACTCCCATTTTCTTTTTGCCCATGTCAACAACTTGTTCAGAGAATTTTTTACTTTTGGTAATTGTTTCACCTTGATGTTACTTAACTTATTTTTCTATTTCTCCATATTTCCTATAAGATGATATAGATCTAAGACTCAATTAGATTTAAGTTCATTTTATTACTCTTTTCTCTTAGGCAAAATAGTTTCATAGGTGCTATGTGGCTCTTATTTCACAAAGCACATATCTGGTTGTCCCAATTTTTGTGATGTTAAAAATCAGTTGGTCAGATGGTATCAGCCCTCCAATTGGAAGTCCTTACCATCAGTTTTTCATCTAATGATTTTAGGAACTACTAATGTTCCTTTTATAGACTCACCATTTCATTAAGGATTATCTAATTAGATAATTTCCTTTGCCTTTACTAACTAGAATTCTGCTATGAAGAATTTTTCCTGAGTAACTTGTTATACTAAAACACAATTTTACAGGAAAGGCTGGAAAATACTTAAATCTTTTTTATCCATTTATAAAGTAATGAGTTGGTGGCATAGCAACTTTACAAATAACTGAAAAAGTCCATTTCCTGATTTTTTAATTTTAGTATATTTTAAACTCATGCATTTTTTATGTACTTGAAATAGTTCGATCACTTTTTGATACTCAAATTGTTCATCTATGAAGACAACAAAAGGCCCCTTCTGGTTAGCTCTGAAGTATTTTTGACACTATCCAATTTATCTTAGATATCTTTCTTGATTTCTAGAATGTAAAGATATCTCAGGATCATCTTGAACATTTCCTGGCACAGACCAAGAATCAGTTATTTGTCAGGAATTTCTGCCTCTTCTTAGAACAAGGAGATATAGATAAAACCACATAAAGTTTCTACCTCATTGTTAAGGGTTTATTACTTCTAGGCCTTTTCAGTGGCAATGCTATGAAAATATAACCTTTGAAAAGGGAAAAAAAATAAATTCATAATTATATATAAATATTCAGGGTTTTTATTTAGCTTCTTCAATTTTATATTTTTTCTCTCATGTCAAGAATCTTACTTCCTTATACTGTTTCTTATTTTGTTCTAAAATTGTGCATAATAATTTTAATATAATATCAATATTCTTTCTACATATATACTGAATGTAGTTACAATTACTTTGAAGAATTTTTTAACATAGAATATAATCCACAAGAAATGTTCAATAAAAATTAGATTCCTTGAACTAATTTTTTCTCTGCATGACCGTAAGTTTATTTATCTATTTTACAGTGACTTCTTTTTAATTTTCTTGGATATTTACTACCTAAGACAACTATATGATGCCAGAGACAAATGTAAGTACAATCAAGGTACACTCTCATGTATTCTGTCTCCATTCATACTTCTCCCCTTTCTTCTCTCCTTTCTCCTAAAACTATTTCCATTAGTTTTTAGTTTATTCATTCACAATTCCCTTTTGAAAATATAAAAATGATTTATATTCATATTCTCTTCTATTATACAAAAGGCAGCATTCAATAAACAGTCTTTTGCACTTTTTTCCCCCACTTAACAATATATCCTTAAGGTAAGGACACAGAACTTCATAAAAGTATTGCTAATGCCTTTTTTATGCTAGTTGTTCAGTGTTCCATTGTGTAAGCCTAACTGAATAAGTAACCTTTGGTTACTGGACTTTTGAGATGATTCTAGTCTTTTACTAATTATCAGAATATCTTCTTTTAACTGCACAATGAAGATTCAAAAACAATTCTCTGTGGTATCTTATGACTTATTTGTTTAGCTTAAATGTGAGGGAGACTCTCTTTAAAAAAGAACTTACAAATGATAGATGGGGAAAAATTGATGACATGAATATTAATGTTTATAAAGAAACAAAAAGCTTCAATGCATTAAATGAGAGAAAAAAAATCTTAAAATTCATGACAAATTAAGTTTGGTTTCCTAATTTAAAAAAAAGTTATATTTCACTAAAATAAAATATAAAACACTCTCTCTACAAATACTAAAATTCAAAAATTAAGAACCTGGAAAGTAGAAAAACAAGGAGTAACTAAGAACTCATAAAATCTCAACTGGCCTCAGTGTGAATGACAAAATCAAGATAATTTATTGCATAAAACCTCTCAAAAAATCAGAAATGGGTGGAACTAAATAATACTGGATTGAGGTATGAGTGGAATTGAAAATAGAGTAACTACCTAAAAATAAGTTTAGAAACAATTCTGACCTCCACATTCTCTTTCATACTTCATGCAGCTAGCCCAGTGTGATTCCTGGGAGTTAGGCAGAGATAGAGAAACAGAAGAGGGGAGAAAAAGCTCTACAGGATTAAATCAAAGTTTGCATGCTAAAGCTTAAACTCCATTACCATTTCCACCCAGCCTCCTTTTCCTAAAAGGCTTACTCTCTTCAGGCAGCTAACTATAGGAGGCTTCTCTATGGAATTCTACAGAACACAAGTAAAACCAAAGATTCAACATAGCAGCAAGGTTCCCCTTATAGTAAAGACCACAAATGACAATTTCCACTTTCTTATAGTTTTCAAAAAGCTTTCTTCTTCCTTGTGAATATCCAAAAAAAACTCAAAAAGACAGAGATTAATACAATGAATGCTAAAGGCAATTGGAAGAAAAAGTATGAGAGAAGGAAGCTTAATTACCCTTAGAGGCAAAAGAATATTGTACTGGGGCTGGGGCTGTAGCTCAGTGGTAGAGCGCTTCTTCACACATGTGAGGCGCTGGGTTGGATCCTCCGCCCCACATATAAAAAATTAAAAAGAAATTTTAAAAAAGAATATTGTATTAATAAACCAAAAATAAGATAAAATGATAAAACTTGTTCCTTAAAAAAATATAACTTAAATGAAAAACTCAGTTTTAATGGAAGGGGTGGAAAGAAAAGTGGAGGTATTTCCCAGTGGGCTAAAAAAAGAAGGTAAAAAAGAGATAGAAAATGGTACAGATAAATCCAAATCCAAATACACAAGTTTTAGAAAAAAGCAGAGGACAAGAAATACAATTATTTTTGGATGAACTTCAGATAAAAAATGTCCATCAAGCAGGGTGTGGTGGCATATACCTGTAATCCCAGTGACTCAGGAAGCTGAGACAGTAGAATCGCAAGTTCAAAGTCAACCTCAGCAATGGTGAGGTGCTTAGCAGCTCAGTGAGACCCTGTCTCTAAATAAAATACAAAATAGGGGTAGGGTGTGGCTCAATGGCCAAATGCATCTAAGCACCCCAGTTCCTTTAAAAAAAAAAAAAAGTCCATCAAGTAAATAAAAGTAAAATATCAAAAACATCATAAAATTTCAGAATGATAATAGACAAGGGAAGACCAAAAGCTTCCATAAAGGGAAAAAAAAAAGAAGCTATCCCATACAGATGATAAATGATGCCCATGTATGAGACCAAGGAACAACCAGTCCTGAAGAAACTAGTCAGAAGTCTCGAAAATAGATGTCTTTAATTAAACTAACAGATTTTGTGTATGTGTGTATTTAATTATACTCAGAGAAAATTTAATCAAATAAGAAAGACCATGTGAATAATTCAGCATTACAAGGAAAGCTAAGTATATTAAAACTTGGGCCTAGAAACAAAAAAGAAAAGACATTCATTAATTCCAAAGGAGTGGGGCAGTTGTGAAAGGAGGATACACAATAACCATATACTACAGGGCTCAGCTGTGAAGAATGTTCACAACAAAAGAAATACAGAACAACTGTACCCAAGGTTACTGTACCCCAGCATTGCTCTGAGGGGGTAACTAGGTGTGTATTTGTTTGTATGTGATGACAGGCCACATAAACATAGATAAATTGAAATAAGTATATGGTTAATGCTTAAATCTTTAAAAAAATCAACTAGTAATAAGCACATTATTTGATAATAGAGATAAAAAATAAATGCACTCCTAAAACTGCTGAAAACAGTCACCTCTGGAGAACAAGAAAGAAACTCTGCTTCTTAGGTCTTGCATGTTTACTGTTTGCATATGCAACTATGAATTAGTGAAAAAATTAAAATGGGGGAAGTGATATGAAAAGAAAATTTACTATTAAGGAAATGAAAATGGGTAATAACCATTTCTCCACAGGAATAATACAATGCTCAAACTCAGAAAGAATCAGGTGAATATGGATCAAAAGAAGATCTTTCACTCATCAGGTTTCTAAAATATTCATAAACTGATTATGGAGTTCTGGCAAGAATATGAAAAGAAGGGCACCCCTCATGCTTTTCATAGATTGCCGGCAAGAAGATACAACTCTGTATGCTGAAAAGTAATAATGTCAGAACTATAAGACTTAAAAGGCCCTCTTATCAGAGAGATCACTTATAGGGATGATCCTACTGAAAATAAAAATGCTAGCACATAAGACACAGATAAAAGCACATAAAACATTTTTTTTCTTACTAAATTGACACAATGAATAATTCTGTTCAAAATAACTTTTGCATAAAAGAATTTGGTGATGATAGCATATGAAAAAAATGAATGAGGTCAATGTTATAACAGCAAGGAATTAGGAGGTTCTCACACTACTGTGTTAAAAATGATTCTTTGAAGAGTGTTATTTGAAAGAGGGTTTAACATAACTAAAATAATATAATTATTAATTATCTTAGAAATGTGTATTACAAACTTAAGGGCAAACACTAATTAGAGTGGCAAAAATAATGATAATTGATATACTAAAAGAAGAGAAAAATGGATTTACAAAATGTTCAACCAAATGCAGATAAGGCAGAAAAAGTAGAACACATAAAAAGAAACAAGGGTAACAAAAAATAGAAGAGTAAGGAATTTGATAGACAAAAAATCCATTTAAATCAATACTTAATTATCAAGTTCTAATTACAGCAATTTTAAGAAAAAGACTTCAGAGTGGATTACAAAAACAAGACCCAATTAAATATTGCCTATAAGAATCCTATGTTATAAATAAAGACACAAATATATTAAAATAATGAAGAAAATATGTACCATGCTAACAATAAATAGCTATGTTGATTTCAAAAAACTTGACTTGAAAGAAAATTATCATACGACAAATGAGAAGTCAGATTTCCAAGCCAATAACAACTCTTAGTGTATATTCACCTAACAACAAAGCATCAAAATATGTAAAACAAAAAAATGATACAACTTCAAAGAGGATTAGATGAATTCAGTAATATATCTAGAGATTCCAACACTTCTCTATCATAATTGACAAATTCAGTAAGAAGTCAATGACGACAGAGTTGAACTAAACATCAGCAACTAGATATTACTAACATCTACAGACTATCCAATATCAGAAAAACATAGATTATATAAGCTCACACAGAACATATCATAATGTTAGACCACAAAATACATCTTAACAGAAAATATAAAAAGTAAACTCTCAGATCTATAAAAAACAAATGGATCAATGAAATATCATGATAAATTTTAAAATATTTTAAACTAAATGGAAAATAAAAATAAAACTTAGCAAAATCATGGAACTTAGTGGTAGAACATTTGCTTATATGTTTAAGACTCTAGGATTAATCCCCAGCATCCAAAAACAAACAAACTTAAAAAGTGAAGCAAAAGCAGTGCTTACAGGGAAATTTACAATATTAAATACATATATCATAAAAGAAAGACCTAAAATCACTCATCTAAGCTTCCACCATAGATAGCTAGAAAAGGAAAAATAAATTAAATCCAAAGTAAGTAGAAGGAAAGAAATCAGAATAAAAAAAATCAATAATGTTAAAATCAAGAAATCAACAGAGAAATCAGCAAAAGTACTAGTTTTTGGAAAAGAGTGGTAAAACTGATAAGCTTCTAATTAGGTTACCTAAGGAAAAAAAGACAAAAGACATGAATTACTAATATCAGAAATGAAAGAAGGGTTACATATAAAATATCAAATATAAAGATAATAAGGGAATATTATAAACTATGCCAGAAATTCACTAAATTTATTAAGTAACCAATTGCTTCAAAGACACAATCTTCCAAAACTTACAAGAGGAAATAATATAAGTAGGCCTACATCTATTAATAAAACTGAATCTATTATCAATAGAAATAGAAAACACCAGTCTCTAATTGGCTAACTGGCAAATTCTATCAAATATTTAAGGAAGAAATTATAGTAGTTCTCTACAAGGCCCTCCACAAGATAATAATACAAGGACTAATTCCTAATTTACAAAACTAGATTCCATTAATACTAACCCTGACAAAGATAACACAAGGACTAGAGCCTGATATCTTTCATGAACAAAGCCAAAGTCCTCAATAATTACTGGAAACTACTGGCAAACCAAAAACAACCATTATTTGACAAAACCAAGTGGGATTTTTTTCTAGGTAGATAAGGCTATTTGGCATCCCGAAATCAATTAATGTAAGCCACTATACCAACAAGAAAACAACCATTATTTGACAAAACCAAGTGGGATTTTTTCTAGGTAGATAAGGCTATTTGGCATCCTGAAATCAATTAATGTAACCCACTATACCAACAAGGTAATGAAGAAAAAAAAATTTACTGTAGGGCTATCTATGTAGGAAAAAATCTCCTAGATAAAACCTTATTATGTCCATCAACAGGGGAAATTTTTAAATAAATTTCAATAAACCAAAAAAAAAGTACAATGCAACTATTACAAATGTTTCATTCTGCACTCAGAAAAATGCTCATGGTTACATATAAAATATCAAATTGCAGGGTAATAGATATAATGCAATACATTTTGGAAGGAGGAGATGAAAATAAACATTTGTATGTATGTACATTTAATGCATCAAAAGTTGACCACTGGTTAACTGAAAATCTAGAACTAGGTGACTATACAGAAGGAAGAGAAAAAATAGTTTCTCCTTTGTGCACCTTTAATTTGACTTAAACCAATCATGGGTGACTTTGGAAGTATATAAGAGAAAGTCCCAGGGAGAATATGAGAAGGGGAAGAAGATCCCATCTGGAGTGAAGATTCTATTCTCCCTTTGAAAAAAGATCATATTAAAGATCAGTTAGCATTTTATTAGTGGCTGATTAGGAAATTTAACTATACTTGCAACAGCCATCTAGATTTAAAATGTAGGTACATACCTTTCTTCCTCAGAACAATTCATGTTTTCTCCATAAAGAAGTAAAATAAGTCCTTCTTCTACAGAAGCAATTCTGGCCAAGATATCAGCTATATGAATTAAAGCTGTTTCAGAACAATTTGGAGCCGTCTGTACATTAAAAAGATAAGACAAATTATAAAATTTTATGACATATCATGGAAGGTATGTAGTCTAATAAAGTTATATTACCACAACAACAACAAAAAATACTTAATGATTCATTTGGCTGTGAAAATAATATGACTGAATGAAATGTATCATTAGATTATATTATTTTCCTAGAATAGCTGATGAAGAAGATTTTTCACTGAAACCAATTATTGGAAATTGCTGCTTCTGATATATATTTTTTTATGTAATTCTGGTTAACAAAAATATTAGCTCCCTCTATTTCAACTTTTCCCTATACTTTTCACCCACTGGATTCCTAACTATTCAATATAATTATATCACATGGATCTAACATACTGCCACCCTATCTAAAGAAACATCATCCCTTCATACATTGATTGACTCAGGAATGTAAATATGAGACCACCAGTTCATGGGTTAGCCAATAGCCAGGAATGTCACCCGGGAAGCAAACAAACCAGACCAATCATATTTACTGTTTCCTTTAAATGTTAAGTAGTAAAATGCCTTTGCCAAAACACAGCAAAATAGCACAAAACAAATAACAAAACCTAGAGAACTATGTTAATGCTAGATTCTATCTACAATAATTTCTGGGATTTGCAAGGTCTGCTTATAATTTCCTTACACTTTCATGGATGCCAGTGCACATATTCTCTACAATAAATTTTAAAATATGTATGTCACCACTAATACAACCGAATAAATTTGGTAGGTTAGTTTAACAAATGATAAGTCTGGAATATTCCCTGAAAATATACAGGAATATCCACTCAATTATATTTAGTCTTCCTTTTCATATTAAATATCTTTCTTGGACAATTTCACCTAGAGTACTTTTGTTCTCTAATATGTTTGTATAGATAGACTATCTCATTTATATATACCTACCTATGAGAATATATGCATTCTCTCATAGGCACATTTTTTCTTTGGAACTTTCTATTCCTCATTTTAAATATATTTTGTTCAAAAGACTGCCTCACCTATGAAAATACAATTCTTAAAGTCAATAAACATGTCTTATTCACATCTACATTTTCAGTACTGAGAGCAAAGCAATGACATAGTAGTGATTGGGTGATGCTGACTGACTTCAATTAGATATTAAAATTCTATTATGTGCCAGAGGACTGGTTCTGCTATCAAGAATAAATTCAAATCTAAATACAATTACAGAAGTATATAACATGGGAATATACAAAAACAAACACCTTTGGGAGATTCAAAGAAAAAAATCTTGTCTAAAGAGAGGAATTTTTCATGAGGACCAAGTTTAATATTTTCCAGGGTAAGAAGAAAGCATGCAAAGATAGAAATGTATAATAATCTCATACAGAATATTCAAATGGATTGTTGTAACTAGTATATATGAGAAAAAATGGGACAAAAACACAAAAAAAATTGGTAAATACCAAGTTAACATTTTTGAAATTTATCCAGAGAACACAACAAGCAGAAAAGTATGTGACAGTACGAGTTTAAGAGGGAGATAAGTCTAACAAAAACACAACAAAACAGGTATGAAAAGACAAAAACATTTTTAGTTTATTGATGCACTCTAAAAGTCATTTTCTACAAACTTAACTTATACAAGCAGAGGGACACATTGGACAGATAGCAGGACTAGTAAGGGCACCAACTCTGCCACTTGTTAAATGCCTGATCTTGAGCAAGTCACTTCCTTCAGTCTCAGTTATGAAAAAATATACAATGTAAGGAAGCACACATTGCAAACTATAAAGACACATCATATGTTCAGCACTGGAATTATATATAAGCTTTCTTTGCAAGGTAATACTAGTTTTACTTACCGTAAAACAGAATTGGCTCTTTGGGATAATAATCATATTTCCAAAGGCTATAAAACTGCCATTAAATCAAATAACAAGACAGTTACAAGATTTATTAGATTTGTAAGACAAATAGCTTCATAATAGAAAAAAATTCTAAGTTCTTTACATCTGTAGAAGTAAGCATGATTAGAAAAAAATTAAGATGTCTGTGTATTCCCCGACCATGTGATATCTATTAAATCAAGCAACTGTATAAACTATGATTTAACCAATAAAAATGTATATCAAACAAAATACATTCATTTTTGAAAACAGAGTATAATAAAATATTTCAAATACATAAAAATAAAGTCTAATTAAATATTATGAATACTCAGTTTAGGGACACTTTTTGTCTTTAGTGACTTAATACCAACCTCAGTTCCCTTCATTAAATTATGAACAGGCTGGAGAAGTGTCTCTACCACAGTATTGTTATATAAGCATTCAATTGCACATTCTTTTTGATCACAGAGTATCCGTAGAACTTCAGTCACCATACTTGCAGGAGAATAATTCTCTGACAAACAAAAAGTATTTTGATAAATTAAAACTTAAAACACTAGATACTTAATACTTTTTTATATATTAGCTAATGTTCTTCCATAAAGCTCAATATCAAAGGTAATAGTTTAAAAATCCCACAACTCAATGCCAATACCAAATTATAACCTAAAAATTAAGATTTCAATTATCTCAATATACTTTCAAGTTAATAAAAACAACTATATAAAAAAATAAATGTCAAAAGAAAAGAATATAAGATCATTCACAGCGTGACATTATAACAATGCTTGATATTGAAGATGTCTCAGAACTTTTCTCCATCTAGGAAATACTTACTTGTATTCACTTTTCATTTTTTCCCTAAATAATGTATTCAGATATTGAGCCTAGTATATAGTTAAATGAGATTCAGTAAGACAACAACATGAACAAAGCAGAAGACATATGAGAAGAGAAACTTTAATGAATTTTCATGGAGACTAGTAAATTTCTTGTGTTACCACAAAAACAAGGAAAAAAAAAAAACATGAAAGGAAGAGTTACTCTTAAGATTTTTTAAAAATATGAACATTAAAACACATAAATGAAACATAATTCTAATTGTAACTAAAACATGACTTTTTATTTCAGAAATCAACATATTTTCAAATATCTGACCTAATATCCCTCCAACAGCATATAAGACTATGCTAGTAAGATACATTACTAAGAAAGTTCTTAATATATGTTATATAAGTCAATATGCCATGAGTATGCTGACTTCAACCTGATACCTGACAAAAAGAAAATGTAAAAGTGAAGTTGAATGATTTTTTAAACAGCTCCTGATGAGAAAACTTCTTCACAGTAAGCAGTATCACTGACCACCATGTGTTCATACATGCATTTATACAATCATCTTCTATTTATTGAGTTTCTGATAAACACCAGACACTATACAAAGAAACACTGCAGACACAGATGTGAATAAGACAAAAACAGTCCTCTAGATGGAAAATCAAAATATTAACAAGTAATTGTAACAAACAAAGGATACTTTTTATCATAAAGAAAGCATGTGATATTGTAATAACATCTAGTAGATTTAAAATGTTTTAAAAAATGGCAATATAACAGTTCCTAAAGTTCATTACTCTATAGTAAAAAATTCTAAAGATATCTAAGTGGATGAAAAGTTAGGCAAAGAATTCAAAAGAATCATCTTTAAGAAGCTCAATGAAATTCTCTTGGGAGAATAAAAAATAACAGAAACCAAAGAGAATAAAAATAAACAGTAGTATGCATTAAGGAAGACAATGCAGGATATGAATAAAGAAATAGAGATTTTGGAAAAATACCTGAAATAAATCTTGGAAATGAAAAGCTCTATAAGTCTGAAAAAATTTTCAATTGAAGGCATCAGAAACAAACTGGATCAAGTAAATCAGAGCTTGAAGACAACTTGCCAAAATAATATATTCAGACAGCAATAAGAAAAAAAAGAATGAAAGGAAAATACAAGATCTAGTGAATACACTAAAATATCAAACATTTGCATAAACTGCATAGAAGAGGGAAAAGGCGAGAACACAGGTTACCTATTCAGTGAAATTATAGCAGGGAATATCCCAAATTGTGGAAAAGAAGTAAACTTCCAGATAGAGGAATTATTTAGAATATAAACTGACACAACCAGAAAAGAACCTCTCTACCCACATTATAGTTAAACTGCAAAAGTACAGAAGAAAAAGTGTCAAGAGCTAGAAGAAAGAAGCACCAAAACACAATTAAAGGCAAATCCATTAAAATATCAGATTTCTTATCAGAAACTCTAAAGGCCAGGAGGGCAAGGAATGAAGTATTTAATGATGTTCTGAAAAAAATAGCAAGAATACTATACAAGCAAGGATATCCTTCAAAATTGAAGTAGAAATCAAGAACTTTTGAGATAAGCATAAACTAAAGGAATTCGCATGGGTTTGGGGACACATCTATAATTCCAGTGTACTGGGAGTCTGAAATAGGAGGATTACAAATTCAAGGCTAGCTTGGCAACTCAAAAACACCCTGTATCAAAATACAGAATAAACAAGTTGGGGTGTGACTCACTGGTAAAGTGCCCTGGTTTCAATTCCCAGTATTAAAAAAAAAAAAATTAAATTAAATAAAAAAATAAATCCACTAAAGGAATTTATAAACATAGCATTACAGAAGATATTTAAGGACACTCTACAACCAAAAGGAAGAAGGAAGTAGCACAATCATGAGAGCATGGAAAAGAATAAATCTTTCTTCAAGAAGAGACACACACACAAAGAGAAAAAAAAAATTATTGATATAGTAAACTATCAAATGTCAAAAATTAATAAAGAGAAGAAAAGAACTTAGAATATTTAAAACAAAAAGAAAATCAAGAAAACAACAGGAACAACTACACAACTTTCAACAATAACCCAAAAGGTTAATGGTCTTAATTTGATACTAAAAGATACCCCATAGATTAAAAAAACAAGATCCACCTCCAAGAAACTTACCTCACCTGAAAAGGTATTCACAAATTAAAAGAATGGAAAATGATATTGCAAGCAAATGGAATCTGAAAGCAAGCAGGAACTGCTATACTTATATCCAACAAAAGAGAGATATTAAGACAAAATCGGTTAGAAGTGGCAAAGAAAGTTACTACATATTGATGAAGGGAACAATTCATCAACATGTTATAACAATTTTAAATATATATATATATATGTACTAAATATTGGAGCACCCAAAAATATAAAACAAACTAGAGCACCCAAAAATATAAAACACAGACACAAACTAGACACAAAGGGAGTGCCCTACTCTCACCAATAGAGATGATCCAGACCAAAAAAATTGACAAAAAACATCAGAGTTAAATTATACTATAGATAAAATATACTTAAAATACAACTATAAAATATTCCATTTAACAACAGTATTCTTTTCATTAACACATTAACACATAGAACTTTACATCCTAATATATGGTCTCAAACAGACCATATATTAGGATGTAAAGCAAACCTTAGAAATCCAAAAAACAGAAATAATTTCTTGAATCTTATCAGATTAAAATGAAATGAAACAAGAAATCAATAGCAAGAAAAACTATAGAAATTATACAAACTAACATAGAGATTGAATAATACTCTTCTGAAGAGTGGGTTACTGAAAATATTAGAGGGAAATTTTGATAATTCCTAGAATCAAATAAAAATAAAAACACAATATACTAGAATCAGTGAAATACAGTGAAAGCTGGGAGAGAAGTTTATAGTAATGAGTACTTATATTAAAAGAATAGAGAGAGCTAAAATTAAAAACTCGATACATCTCAAGGTCTTAGATAAATAAGAACAAACCAAACCCAAAATCAGTAGAGGAAAAAATAATAAAGATCAGAGCAGAAATACAACAAATAGAGATTTTAAAAACAATGCAAAAGATCAATGAAACAATGAGTTGGGTCTTTGAAAGATAAACAAATCTTTAGATAGATTATCCCAGAGAGAGAGAGAGAGAAAGGTAAATAAAATTAGAGTTGAAAAAAGAAACATTACAACAGATACCACTGAAATTCAGAGTCACTAGGAATATTTTGAAAAATTGCATACCAATAAGTTGAAAAAAAAACTAGAAAAAAACATAAATTTCAAGACAAATATAACCTATCAAAATGAACTAAGAACATATTAGAATAAACTAAATAGAACAATAAGTAAAAAGATTAAAATAATAAGACAAAGTATCCCAACAAATAAAAGTAAAGGGCCAGACTAATTCCCTGCTACAGTTTACAGAACATTAAAGAAGAACTAATATCAATGTTCCTCAAACTAGTCCATAAAAATGAAAGAGAAGGAACCATCCCAAACTCATTCTACAAACCAATATTACCTGACAAAGGCACACACACAACAAAACTATAGGCCAATATTCCTGGTAAACATAAATGCAAAAATTATCAGTAAAATATTAAGTAGATAAAATTCAACAGCACATTAAAAAGATAATATACATGGTCAAGTTGTTTTCATTCCAGGGATGAAAGGATGCTTCATCATATGCAAATCAGTAAAAGAAATAGCACATAAAAGAGAGTCAAGAATAAAGAAAAAAATCAGAAAAGTACCTCAATACATACAGAAATAGCTTTTAATAAAACTTAATATCCTTCATGAATAAACTACTTATAGAAGGATCATATCTCAACATAATAAAGGTTACATATAACAAACCAACAGCCTACATCATGCTGAATGGGGAAGGACTGATAGCATTCCCTCTAAGATCAGAAATAAGATACCACTTCATTCAATATACTACTTGAAATTTTAGCCAAAGCAATTAGGCAAGAGAAAGCAGTAAAAAGGATACAAAAAGGAAAGAATAAAATCAAATTATCTCAGTTTACTGATATGATTCTAAACTTAGAAAACCACAAATATTCCCCCAAGAAACTCTTAGAACTAATAAATCCAATGAAAAAGCTAGACACAAAATTAACACACACACACACACACACACACACACACACACAAATAGCTTTTCTGTATGCCAACAATGAACTCACTGAGAAAGATGTCAGGAATAACAACCCCATTCACAATAGCAAAAAAACAAAACAAAACCCTAGAAATTAACCTAATCAAAAGGAGGTAAAAGACCTCTACAATGAAAATTATAGAACACTGAAGAAACAAACTGAAAAAGACACTAGAAAATAAAAAGATCACCCATATTCATGGATTGGAAGAATGGGAGAATTAATATTATTAAAATGGACTTACTACCCAAAGCAATCTACAGAATCAATAAAATAATTATCAGAATACCACTTTCTTAACAGAACTAGAAAAAAGTCCTAAAATTCTTATAAAAATACAAAAGATCCCAAATAGCCAAAGTAGTCCTGTGAAAAATGGACACCACTGGAGATATCATGATATCTGATTTCATTATATACCACAGACTCATAGTAATAAAAAGAATATGGTATTGGTATAAAAATGAACATATAAAATAATGGAACAAAACAGAGGCCCCAGCAATAAATTCATATATCTCCAGCCAATTAATCTTGACATACGTGCCAAAAACATAAACTGGAAAAAAAAATAGCCTCTTCCACAAGTGGTGGGGAACTGGAGATCGATATGTAGAATAGTAAAACTAAATGTCCCGTCTCTCATAATATATAAAATTCAATTCAAAATGGATCAAATACTATAAAAAGACCTGAAATTCTGAAACTATTAGAATAAAATATAGAGGAAAAATTTCAAGATACTGACATAGGCACTGATTTCCTGAATTGAACTCCTTTGATTTAGAAAACAAAAACAAGAATTGAAAAATTAAATTACATAAAATTTGTAACAAAGGAAACAACCAACTGAGTGGAACACAATTTACAGAATGGGAAAAAATCTTTAACACTATTCATATAACACAAGATTAATAACTAGAATATAGAAAGAATTCAAAACAATTACTGAAGAATAAGTAACCAAAAAAAAAAAAATTGGCCAAATGAAGCTCAGCATGGTGGTAGACACCTGTAATCCCAGTGGCTCAGGAGCATGAGGCAGGAGGATCCCAAGTTCAAGGCCAGTCTCAGCAATTTAGCAAACTCTAAGCAACTTAGCGAGACTGTGTTTCAAAATAAAAAATAAAAAGGACTAGGGATGTGGCTCAGCTTGGTGATAAAGTGCCCCTGGGTTTAATCACTGGGACCAAAAAAAAAAAAAAGCCATATAAACCAAATAGAGAGTTTAAAAAAATATATATATATACACACACACAAATGGCAAACACATAAATTTTAAAATGCTCAATATCTTTAGCCATCAAGTATCTTTAGCAAATCGAACCTACATTGAAATTCCACCTAATCCCAGTCAGAAGGGCTATTATAAAAAGTAACAAACGCTGGCAAGGATGAGAAAGGAAAAAGAATGCTTGCTTATAAACTGTTGGTAAGAATGTAAATTAATACAGTCATTATGGAGAACTGTATATAGGTTCTTCAAAAACTAAATACAGAATATATCCAAAGCAAATTAATCAGCATATAAAAGCATTACCTATATACCCATTTTTTATTTTGGCACTGTTCAAAAGCTAAGAAATGGAATCATTCTAGGATCCCATGGAAGAATGAATAAAGAAAATACAGTATGTGTATTGGTCAGCTTTGTGTCACTGTGACCAAAATACCTGACAAGAACAAAGGCCCTAATCTTCATCACGTGGGATTAGGGCCCAACTTCCTTAATAAGACCCCTACAGTGCAAGAATTAAAATTAAAAAAAAATCAATAAATGGGATGAACTCAAACTAAAAATTTCTTCTCAGCAAAAGAAACAACTATGAGGTGAATAGAGAGCCGACAACTTGGGAGCAAATCTTTACCCCTCACACATCAGATAGAGCACTAATCTCTAGGGTATATAAAGAACTCAAAAAACTAACACCAAAAAAACAAATAACCCAATCAATAAGTGGGCCAAGGACCTGAACAGACACTTCTCAGAATTCTGAGGATATACAATCAATTAACAAATATATGAAAAAATGTTCATTATCTCTAGCAATTAGAGAAGTGCAAATCAAAACTACTCTTAAGTTATCTTCTCACTCCAGTCAGAATGGAAGCTACTATGCATACAAACAACAATAAGTGTTGACAAGGACGTGGGGGAAAAGGTACACTCATACATTGCTGGTAGGACTGCAAATCGGTGCAGCCAATATGGAAAGCAGTTTAGAGATTCCTTGGAAATCTGAGAAAGGAACCACCATTTGACTCAGCTATCTCTCTCCTGGGTCTATACTCAAAGGACTTAAAAACAGCATACTACAGGGACACAGTCACATCGATATTTATAGCAGCACAATTCATGATAGCTAAACTGTGGAAGGAACCTAGATGCCCTTCAGTAGATGAATGGATAAAAAAAAAATGTGGCCTATATACACAATGAAATATTACTCAGTAATAAAAGAGAATAAAATCATGGTATTTGTAGGTAAATGGATGGTGTTGAAGAAGATAATGCTAAGTGAAGTTAGCCAATCCAAAAAACCCAAATGCCGAATGTTTTCTCTGATATAAGGAGGCTGATTCATAGTCGGGTAGAGAGGGGCAGCATGAGAGGAATAGACTAGATAGGGCAAAGGGACGGGAAGGGAAGGGAATGGGGAAAGGGTTAGCAAGGATGGTAAAATGTGATGGACATCATTATCCAAAGTACATATATGAAGACATGAATTGGTATGAACATATTTTTTATACAATCAGAGATATGAAAAATTGTGCTGTATATGTATTTTTTCTTTAATCTTCAATAAAAAAGGACCCTGAAAAGATTGTGAAGTTTGGATGTGAGCTAAAACATGTAAGCTGATCAAAACATTCTGGGAAAGATAAAAGACAGAAAATATCAAAAATAAAACAAATTAGTACCTATCAATCAAGCATGATCTCATTTCTTGAGAACATCTTCCTTTTAATAAAGAATATTAAAATCCTCAGGAAAATTGATCCTAAATTAAGAAGTTAGTAGATTAGAAATATCTTAGAACATCAATGAACAAAATTAAATTTCATGGTTTACTTCAGAACTAATGTAATTTCTTCTTAATAATGCTATATCTTAATGAAATCTATTGACAAAACTACACCAGGCACTCAAAACATTCTGGCAATACCTAAATATTTTTAGATGCTTTTTATTACTCAAGCCAAATTACCTGAGTGTGGAGATGATGTCATCTTTGGACAACTTGGTGAATAATAGATAAGTTGGGTAAATAGAACCAGCAGATCTGTAAGGGATACTGAATCTTCACAAAGAAATAGAAAAAGAAAGAAATTAATCCCTATTATATACTTACAACTTAGAACAATTTAACTAATGGCTCATCAATCTATGACTGAGTTTTTATAGAAAACATGATCCAGTCAGGAAGGCAGAAGCTATAATCAAAAACACATGACTTCAGAACAAATTAGACATAGTATATTAAAAAACAGCAAGGCAAATAATACGATGTGGGCTATGTAGAGGGACAGGGGATTTTTTTTTTTTAGCTAATCACTTAGTATAAACTTCTAATTAAAAGATTCATAAATCTGATTATTGCTATTTGTATTTATTCAATTAGGAGCAAAACTAAGGAAAAAGCTAAGTGAATCTTCCAGTCTCACTTGCTCTGAGTTACTTACCTTTAGTTGACTTTAAAATTCATTAATTTTAGAAATCACACAATTGAGCAATGCACTATTAAGTCTCCCATTAGCTCTGATAGATAACATATCTTATATGAGAGTTATGATAATGGTTACCCAGGTTATTTTTCATGGACTTGAAGGCTGCTTTTGTCAAAAGCACCAACTCTTCACTTGAGCCTGTGCAGACATCTGCTCAGTGACTAAAAACAGTGAAAAAGCTAGACATCTTGGACTTCATGACATTTCTGTCTCTTTTGCTACCTTAATCTTTAAGTCAAAATGTTTCTGCTCAGCTCTGCACATAAACATGTTATTCACTTAAGGAATGTTTGTCAAAAATAGTACAGATTCATTTACCTAAAACTTCCCTAAGTTCTAACCTCCCCCTTTTAAACTTCTGACACCAGGCTAAGAACTACATATTCTCAAGATTCACAGGGGCATCATGATTACCGCAAAATCAACAGATCACCAACAACCAGGTTTCACAACACCCTACTCCAGACCACCAGAGAGATGCCTAGAAGTCTAGAATATACTCCATAACACAGGTCAGCAAATTGTAGTCCTTATGATCTGATTTTGTAATGCTCACAAGCTAAGAATGGAATTTCATTTTTAAAATGTGTTTGAGGTTCCTCAAAACCATGCTCAGATTCAGTGATTTACTAGCAAGACTCGAATGTTTCAACATACAGTCATACAGCTGTTTTGTTACATAAAAAGTACACAAAGAAAAATCCAAGGGAAATGGGGAATGTGGTGAAATCCAGAGAAAATCAGGCACAAGCTTCTAAGTGTTCTCTTCCACAGAGTGACACAGAATACATTTAATTCTTCTAGGAGTGAATTTTAAAAACATATGTAAAATAATGGCTATCAGGAAAGATTATTATAAATCCCAAAGTTTTTACTGAAGGTTGAAGATTCAGGCACCTATTGACTAGCACATACCAAATTTCTAAATTCATAAAAGGAAAGTAAGTGTTTAGTGTAAAAACACATTGTAAACAGATTAGACACTGTGATCAGTCTATAGCTTAGGTATCTCTCAGTGCTGGGAATAAAAGAATTCTAGACATCAACCAAGGACCAACCTTGCACAAGCCCTTTCTAGGAACAGCAGCCTCCAGATTGTGATGCTACCTTTTTATTTTATTTATTTATTTATTTGGGGGGGGGGTACATTCAGGTGCACACACAGAGAAAGACATTATGTGGCCCAGTGTGGCTAAAAGAGTTAGTATCTAGCACTTTACAGGAAAAGTTTGACAGCCCCTACTCTGTAGTATATTCTTAGATAAGCTTAGGGTTTTAAGGGAAATAAGAATAACTAGCAACATGTGCCAAAGTTTAATAGAGGAAAATTAAGAAGACTTAGGGTAAAAACAATATGAAAGTGTATCAAATGGTATTGGGCTTTATAGTTTATAAAACAATATTCTCAAACGAAAGTTCTCTAAGTGTAGCATCACTGATGCCATTATTCAATTTTCATGATTTAAGAAACCAAAACAACATAAAGTAAGTAAATTGCCCAAAAGATCCTAGATAATGTATAAGACAACCAGAACTTAAATAAGGTCTTCTACTTTTACATCCAGAACTGGATCATCAAGTATGTTGAGAATTTTGAGAGACAGGGGAAAATAATTATTACATTCTAGGAGAATAAGAAAAACACCTATGCATGTAGAAAGAAGTAGAAACTGAAAATTCAAAGAAAAAAATACTTCAATATATATAAAACTAAAAGGTATATAACTAAATACCTTTGAAAAAACATGGGAAAACTCCAAGCTTGAATGAGCCACAGCATATAAATCTTACCTTAATTCCACATATTCATCTCTCCTAGTCTCACTTACCTTTTTTATCCTCTAGCTTTATGGGAAAGAGTTTTCTGCCTTGTTTATAGATCAATAATCTTCCTAAAATGCATAATGAGTGAATGAAATAAATATATTGTAATTCTTGTCCTGAGTAGTAGACAATTTTCTGTTTGTTCCCTTAAGAGAAGAAACAAAAACATTTTAATGTTTTAATATTTTACAGTACCTCTCTCCATTTTCTTCTAAACACACAAGATTCTAGTCTATAATGAAGACACTGTTGGTGGAAATTTTAACAATATTTATCTCCTGGGCTGGAGTTGTGGCTTAGCAGTAGAGCGCTCACCTAGCATGTATGAGGCATTGGATTCAATCCTCAGCATCACAAAAAATAAATAAAATAAAGGTATTATATCCAACTACAACTAAAAAAAAAATTTAATATTTATTTCCTTGTTTGCTAAGGCTCTTTACATAAATCTGAGAAAAAGCAGTCATAAAATTGACAAAACTCAGAAAAATATAATATGCATCAGACCATATATATATATATATATATATATATGTAGTATAATATGTATCAGACTATGTATATATATATATGTGTGTGTGTGTGTGTGTGTGTGTATATATATATATTATGTATTATATGCATCAGTGCTCATTCTAAAATAAATACCAAAAATTGCCAGAGTTATCACCTGTCATCAAGGACATGCTTTAAAAGTAAGTTAAGGAAGGAAAGAAGTCAATAAAAAATGTTAGTTACTCTTCAGTTTTACTAACTAAAAGTAAATGCATGTAAAATCTATAAAAAATATTCCAAAATCTAAAAAACTGCCATATGAAACACTTCCAGTCCCAAGTGTTTCAGGTACACAAAAGATCATACTATAGAGATTTTCTAATATTTATTTGCTTTTTACTCATTTGCCCAGAGAGTCAGGATATATCAAATATCTACTTTATACAAGATCCTGCACTTTTCACTAATGATAAAAACCAGAAAGAGACCTAAACTTAGCTCTCAATTAGACTACAGCAAACAGGGTGGTATCACAAGAGTATGCAGAGGACAAGGAGAAGAGAATAAGGAGCTTCAAAGGGCAGATCATGAAGACATGGTCATGGAAAGAATCTGGACTTTATTACAGAGGCCATTAGGATAAAAGTAAAGCTCTTTAAGGAGTTAAATACACGTAGTGGAACACTGACTCTACAGCAGTGTAGAAAGCTAATGAAACAAAATCAAGGTGTGAAAGAAGCTTTATCAAGAAAATTATACACAAAAACACTAGCAAAAAAAATGAAGAGATAAATAAAAGTTTATGTTTAAGAAAATGAAATGTATGTCACAATCAATCCCACCATTACATATAATTATAATGCATCAATAAAAAATATGGAAAAAAAGAAAAATAATATGCCATAGCCAGAATTACACATAGGCAGTGAAAGAAAAAGATGAGAAAACTCAATTTCTAACATAGTATACAGGATAAATTTCTCCTATGTAAGTAATTCCAATGAGTAAAACAACAGGTCTAAAAAAAGAAGGAACAGTGATTTCAGTACTGTAAATTTTGAAGGACATAAATAACCTTTAGGTAGTAATATTAAGTAAAAGTGAGTGGATCTGAAATTCAGGAAAGGTATGTAGACTTACATATTTCAGTCACTATACAAGTAAATATGTAATACTTGAGGCCATGTACATGAGCTCCCTCAAGAAAACAAATATAGTAAAGTGGAAAAAAGCACAAAGGGAAAACATTTGCCAGTACAAACGTGAAGAAAAGAGAAAAGCTCTTCAAGTGAACACACAAAACTTACTATGTACGACAATGAAGGAATACAAGAAAAACATGACACTAAGATGAGGAGGAAAGAATCAACAGAGATACATGCTGTTAAATGAGGACAAGAAAGATTAGAAGCTAAGATGGGAAGGCCTTAGAGGAGTAGAAATAGAAGCCTACTTCTATAACTGAAAAGTGAAGGAGAGGCAAAGAAGTGGGACCTGGGGAATCCAGAATATACAGAAAGCTCTTCTTTCAAGGGAAGCAGAAAGGTAAAACATATGGAGCACAGAACTTGCTCCATTTTTTATTATGGATCACCCATGAGCAGGTTAGACAACAACGCAGGAGAAAGAACCAATGCAAAGAGATATAGAATAACAAAATGGCCTAGTTTCACTAAAAATAAAGCAAAACAAACAAACAAACACAAACACTCCAGGAGGTAACAGAATCAAGAGAATAGATAAAGTGGTCAATCTGAAATAGGTCACATCTTGATTACAAGCTAGAGAAAGGAAATACTGATAAAAGTATATAAACATTCATTCTTATACACAGAAGCAGGACATGTGGGAAGGTCGTATACAAAAAATTCTATTTTCTTAGTGAAATAAGAACCATGGAGTCCTGTTGAAAGAGAGTGGGCAATAACAAGAAAGGTGGTTTGCTGAAACTGGCAAATACTGTAATAGCTGGGACATCAAAGAAAGATCACCTAAGAGAATTCCAAAGCAACACAAAAAGAGCAACTGAGGTTAGAAAACATATATTTGCACTTTTCAATACACATAACAAATTCTCTCTGCTCAGTTTCCCGAGAACCCCAAAAAATGGAAAGCTGAACTGACTGCAGGCAAGAATGAACAAAAAATTTGAAAAAAGGAAAAAAATGAATATGGCAAAAGAATACAATGAAATACCACAAGGTATTTCTAGATAAGAAAGGTATTACTAGATAAGAAAGAAAGCAAAGCCATGAGAACTAGTAGAGTGGGGGTTAAGGGGGATGCTTGATGTAACTTTTTAATATCAAGAAATTAGAAAAATCTAAAAATATTTATATGAGATAATACATAAAATTATGCATACTTTTGTTTCTTTTCAAGAATAAATTTCAATTTCTGCACTTTCTCCTCCACTACAAAACATGAGGTTTTGAAATCCATTAATTATTGGTCTTTGACACTTTCTCATGCTTTGAGTTAAAGAATTTTATTCAGGGATAAACTAAATTATAAGATACTTTCATACTCTCAATAACTTATCATTTGTTTCAAAAAACAATAAATGTAACCAACATGAAAGTTCAGTTTCACATGGCAAGTTGTGAACCGTAAGCAAAGATCCAGAAAAATTCCAAATAGGTGAAGTTTATTCTTTCATGATAAATAAGATATAAGATTTACTTATATTGGTTTAAGTAAATATGAAAGAAGCATCAGAAGTAAAAATAACAAAGGTATATAGGCATTGATGGGCAAAACAATCTAAAAGAAGACTCGTTTACTCAATATCAAAATAAGAGACCAGATAAAAAAATTAGGGCCAGATTTTAAATTATCTAGGATGTTTTAGCTCAGACTGAATGTAAGTAGAAATGAAGCACAGGGCAAGATGGGGTATTTGATAATAAAAACTACATTGTAGGGAATTTTTCCTCTAACTAACGTGCTTAAGTATCTGATTAAAAGAGTGAGACAATAGCAGAAGAGAAAAAGGGACTACATATCATGGTAGTATGAGAGATTAGAATACTAATGCCTAATATAACTTGAAGAGCTGCATATAGTATGAATCAGTATGACTAAACATTCATTTTAAAGGTAGATATTATTAAAAAGTCACTAAATCTTTTTAATTTCTCAAAATATGTTAAGTCATTGGTAAAAGTGATCTCATTTACCAGCTACTAAAAAAATAAGTCATTTTAAGGCTATTTCTGAGCCACATCCCTGGCCCTTTTTTATATTTTATTTGGAGACAGGGTCTCTCTTAAATTGCTGTAGGGCCTTCCTAAGTTGCTGATGCTGGCTTTGAACTTGCGACCCTCCTACCTCTGCCTCCGAGCCACTGGGATTACAGGCGAGTGCACCATGACCAGCAAATTTAAACATTTTTAATGTGTGTAATTAAAAAAAAAATACGTACCACAATGCTTTGAATGTTCCAAAATTTCATCAGTTTTCATGGTCTCACACAATTCCAAGTACTGAACACACTGCTGAACTGCTGTGGTTATCTAATAAAATAAAATCTCATTAATTTCAGGAACTTGCAGTCTAGAAGTCCAAGTATTTTTATTTAAAAAAATAGGCAAAGCTATAAAAATTCTAGCTGGAAATATTTAGGAAATATGTAGACTACTACCTTTTCAGGTACCACAACTCAGTCTCCCCAGTCACATATTACTATGGCATCAATTTGGGGAGCACTGAAAAGATTTGTGAACAAATATATTATTATCTTAATATTGGTTTCAGTGGACGGAAATAAACATAATCTGACATTTTAGTGAAAGATACAAAAATACTACAGCCGTGGCTTTCAAAACTTTCTTGCACAGTTCCCTCACATCATAGTCTTTTCTTCCCATCTGGCCAGCAAATATATTGACTGGTTTAAAATTCTGTTTCCATCTCCAATACCACAATTTAAAAAAAAAATAAAAAGAAAGAAAGAAAACTGAAAATTTAAAGAACATTGTCATAATTTTTAAAAAATCTACAACCCCTACTGTTCCTAATGATTCTTTTGTAAGTCTCCATTCTAACCCTTCCTCCCATTCTTCACAAGTAGAGCTTTCAACCCTTCTCCCCTTTCCCAAAACTTACCTACTCCCAATAGATTCCCTCCAATTCTAATTCCCAAACAAAATACAAATCATCAGTGAAAAAGGACTGATAATTATTAGATTTAGTAATAAGGAGATTGTTGGAGACCCTGAATAGGTTAGTTTCATGGGAATTTGAAGATTAAATCCAGTTTACAATAAAGAAATAAGAACTGAAAAAGTAGAGGTACCTAGAATTATTTTCATTTTCATGAAAGTTAGCCATGAAGGAAATTTAAAATAGAGCAACAGGTACTATAAGGGTCTTAGAGGCAAAACTAATTTTTTTTCCAAGTTGGAAAGATAGGGTCATGCTTCGTGTTCTTGGTAGGGTATCTGACAGAAAAGTTCAACTATATAGGAAATAAAGAAGTCAGCTGACAGAAAAATGTATCCAAGAGGGAAAAGAAGTTTGGAGTCAAGTAGAAAGAGGATTAAGCTTTAGATGGCAAAAAAAAAAAAAAA